TGGTTGCTTATATATAACAGTTGTATACTGTATAATACATTTTTTTGTGTTTTATCCCTTCAACAAAAAAAATTATTATAATATTTTATCAAATTTATTATTCAACAAAAAAACACATTGAGAGAGAGAGACACACATAGTATTTATTATTATATAAATAACAAAAATATATAAATAAATAAATAAAAGACACAAAACTTATTTTTTTCAAACTTTTTATTTTATTTTTATTATTTATTATTATCCAATAGTTTTTTATTTTTGTTGTTTAAATTACAATATATATATATAAAGAGAGAGAGAGACAGAGAGAGAGAGAGAGTTCAATCATCAAATATGTCAATTATAATTATAATATTATTAAAATTATTATATAATTTTTATAGTAATAGTAATAGTAGTTGTAGTAAAACATTTTTTTGCAATTTTTGCAAATAGAGATTGAGATTAAAACTAGTGTTTTTTTTAATTAATTAAATTTTGTTTTGTTTTCAATTATATAATTAAAAAAAAAAGTTTTGATAATTAAAATTATTATTTCATTATACATATATATATATATATTTAATGGTTATTACAATCAATCAATCAAGCAATCAATCAATCAATCAATCAACAACAACAACAACAATAAAAATTTAATAATAATTAAAATCAATTATAATAAACTCCACATATATTTTTCATTTTGTTAAATTATTATATCTTTTTTTTTGTTAAATAAAAAATCATAATTTATATACAATATTGGTTTAAATATATATATATATATAAATTATCTATCACTCAATAACCATTAGACATATATATATATATATATATACACATACATACATACATATGTGTAAAGTATAATATATATATATAATTTATCTATAAATTTGTAAAATATTTTTATGTCATTATGTTTTGTTTTTTTAATAATAATAATAATTTATAATAAACAAAATAAATTAAAATATATAAAAATTATTAATTATCTTTATAATTATAATAAATTTAATTTGAAATAATAATAATAAAACAAACAGGGACATTCAATAAATCCATTCAAATGCCATTATTTTTTCATACTTTTTAACTTTGATTTAAGTTTTTTTTWWAAAAAAAACATTTAATCAAACATTTTATTTTTAAAATATATATACATATAATATATAATAATATATATATATATATATATATATTTATTCACAACAAACTCTTTTGCTTTTGCTTTTTTCGAGCCAAACATACAATTAATTTTTCAAAATAATTATTTTTATTTAAATAAATAAAAAAAAACTATTATTACTTACACACACACACACTAACCATATATTTATTATTATTAATAATAATTATTAATTAATTAATTTTTTGAAAATTATTGTTTTTTTCAATTGAATTTTTTGAAAATTCAATTTAATTAATTGATTTTTTTAAAAATTGAATTAATTTAAATAATTATCATAACAATTACATCACATACCGAAACACATGTAAACCTATATATATATAATAGCGAGTCTTACTCACTATACATATATATCTCATAGACACACACACTCTCACTATTAAATAATAACTCATTAATTTACTCACTCACTCACTCACCCACTTAATCAATAACCTACTCTCTCAAACAGTATTAGTAATTATCAATAATTTTTTTTTAAAAAATATAAATTATTATATAATCCTATTACCCAATCACTCACTCATACTTACAATCATTACTTACTTACTCACCCACTCACTCACTCAGTAATTATCTTTCATATATATATATTTAGGCCTCTCATTACAATTTTCTATATATATATATATATATATATATAATTTATATATATATATATAATTCTCACTCATTTATCATTTTTTAATTATAATACATAATCACATATCAGTTTGACTTTCCAGTAATTTTCAAAAAATAAAATTAAAAAAAAACTAAATTAAAAATAAATTAAAAGATTATAATTATAATTGAATAATAATAATATTAATAATTATTAAATTGAAAATAATAATAAAATTGAAAAATTACTAATTAATATTTAAATATAATAAAATGTTTGTGTTTATGTTTATATATATGTATGTAAAACTTTTTTTTTAAATTTATATTTATTATTATTAATAATAATAATATATAAATTTAAAGACACAAAAAACAAGATAAATAAATATTATTTTATATATATATATAAAAATTAATAATAAATGTCTGGAATCTTAATTATTTTAATAATAATAATAATTATTATTATTATTATTATTATTATATAATATTATAAAATGAGGTCTGAATTTAGAGGTAATTAATTATCATTTTTATGTATAATTAAATAATAATAATAATTATTATTATTATTATCTAGCTCATTTTAAATTATGCTTAAAAATCATGATTATTATTATCTGGTTATATACTAAATATTTATTTTTTTAAATATTATTTTTTTTGTTTAAAAAAAGAACACTTATATTACCCGTAAATAAATTTCAAAATTTTTGTTTAATTAATTAATCAATCAATCAATTGATTGATTAGAAATAATTATTTTTATAATACCTAAACATATAAATAATTATTATTATATAGTATTTAATATTAATATTAAATTGAAAATGAAAAAAAAATTAATGAAATATATATTTCAAGCACTTATTTGGTTGGAAATCGCAATTTTTTTTTAAAAATGTCTGAATTAGTTATACTAATGTTTTTTTTATAAGTAAGTTATATATATATATATATATATATTTTAAATATAAATTATTATTGAATAAATTGATTTTTTTGTTATGTTGTTTTGAAAAAAAGACATTTTTCACTAATTATTGGTAAATATTAATATAATAATTGAGTAAAACAAATCAAAAAAAATCATTGATTAATCAATATTAATAATATAATAATAATATTTAGTATATATATATAACTATAAATTTGTATTCATATATATATATATATATAATTAATTAATCAATTAATTAATTAAGCCACAAAAGTTTTTTGAAACAAACAATATTGTTGTTGTTATTATTATTATTATAATTATTATCATCAAATTATTTTGTATTGTTATTATTTTTAAAATTAATAATAAATATTATTAATTTATATCTTATTTTTTCAATGTTTGGTAAAAATATTTGTAACATTTTTTTGTTTGTTTGTTTCGTTTGTTAACAAATATTAACCACAAAAAAAACATTGTATACTATTATCAATAGTGTTTTATATATATATATATATATATATATATATATATTAAATATTTTTTTTATACGTATTTTGCTATCATTAATGCAATAAAAAAAATTGTTTGCTTTAAAATCAAGTGTTTTCTAAAAATTAAATAAAATCTTTAAATTAATTTTTGTTTAAACTACTAATTACTAATATATTTAAAAAAAATCATTAAATCTAATTGCTGTAATTAAATTGTAAATAATAATTTAAATAATTAAAAAAAAAATGCAAATTGATTTGATTTGATTTTTTGTTTGTTTTGTCATACAAATACAAAATTATTGTATATATGAATTGTCATATTTTAATTGAGTGTTCAAATATTTTTTTTTTTAAAAAAAGGTTTATATATAATAATAATAATTATTATTATATATATAAACCGTATTATAATTAATATAATATAGTAGTAATTAATATTAATTAATAATGAAATTTTTGTTTAGTAATGATTGGCAGTTATATATTATTGAATACACTGTAGTAGTAGTAGTAGTAATAGTAGTAAATAACTAATTGTTAATAAATTTATTTTTAAAAAAAAAACATTTGTGTAATATTATACTAAAAAAAAAAAATTTGTTTAAATGATTTCATCAAATTTCAAAATCAATCAATTTTTCATTCATTATTCATTAACATCTAATTATGTTTACTTCAAAACAAGTAAACAAAAACCTAAAAAAAATTAAATTAAAAAAAAAGTTAAGTACTTTTGTGGCCTAACTTTAAAACTAGAAAAAAATCTAAATATAAATACATTTATCAATTAAAAAAAAACTAAAATTACAAATATATATATATATATTAGTGGTTTATATATATATATATATATATATATATATATATATATATTATAGACTACGACAACAAAGACATCATCGTTAATGAGAAAGACTTTATGTATATTTTTAATTATTTTTTTATATATAAATATTTATATATATATATAATATATATAATATTTATATAGTTTTTAAGGAGAAAAAGAAATATCAATGAATTTTTTAAAACCAATTATTGGTTATTTGTTTTTTTTTCAAAAAAAAAATTATTTTTTAAATGAGAAAATTTTATAATTTTTTTTATCATCATTTTGTTTGTTTGTTTGTTTTGATTTAATTATCATTTTTTTTGTATTGTATTGTTTTGTATTAAATTAAATTAGATTCGAGAAAATCATTGATTCCCGAAAAAAGTGTTTCTATATATATATATATATATAATATTAATTAAAATAATTATATATATATATATATATATATATATATATAGTTATCATTACTAATTGCTTGCTAATTGTTATCTATATATATATAGATATATATTTTTATGTGTTTGTATGTTTCAAAAAGTTAAAAAGTTATTAATATTAAATATACACACATTAGAGATAGTGATTTTAGTGTAAAAAAAGAGTCTTTTAAAAACCCGTTAAATATTTATATATATATATATATATATATATATTAATAGTTAGATATCTAAATAAAAAGCAATTGTTATCTCAAATATATATATTTGAATATCTGTTTCAATAATTGTACCGTAATTACCATAATATTAAAAAAAACAGTTACTATTCAATATATATATATCTCAATAGTACCGCGTAATAGTAGTAATAATAGTTATAAATATTAAAAAGTTAAAAATAATTATAAAAAAAACAACATAACTAACACATATACTAAAACAATCATAATTATCATAATAATCATAGTGTAGTAGTAGTAGTAGTAGTAGAGGTTTACCGGTTTAATAACACATAATAATAATAATAATATTATTATTATTTTTGATTTGATTTGAAATTATTTTTGACGGATAAAACACAATTACCGTATGTATCAATCAAACAATTTGAATCACTTTATCGCTGACAAATTTGAATGCGATTATTGCCGAAATCGACAACAACTAGCAAATTGTCGGCAACGGCCAAACCCGACGGCCGATCCAATGCCAGTATATCTTCGCCCAGGTAGTCAAAACTTTGCGTAGCCGAATTCCATATGGATATACGATTGTTTCGGCTGTCGGCACAGTAGATGGCCGTTGCGCCCGAACTGACCACACCCTGTGGCCTCAGAAACTCGCCCCAAGCCGAACCTTCGCCGAAACCGATATACTTGGGAGCGACGTCTTCCTTGGAGTTGATCACATTCTTGTCGATGATTAGCAGTCGGTGTTTGTTGAAATCGGAAATGACAAACTTGTCGCTTGAGATGAACGATACGCCCCGCGGACTGTCCAATGGCTGGCCGCAATGCCACAGGTATTGGCCATAGGGTGTAAACAGTTGTACTCGACGGTTACGTGTATCCGATACGAGTATTTGCGAGGTTTGCGGACACGAATCAATATCCCATGGATAACAAAATTGACCCGGACGGGAACCTTTTTCGCCAAACTTAAACAAATAGGTACCGGATATGTCGAATACCTGTGCGTTTAGGTAAATATACGGTAAATAAATGGTCAGTATTGATCACCCCTTCCCCCACCCTAAATAGGTAGGTATATAGAGAGAGGCATTGATGAGATTACACACCTGTACCCGATGGTTGTCTTTGTCGGCAACAATAATATGACCCAAATTAACATTGATTGCTATGCCGGCCGGCCTATCGAACTGGCCCTGACGATTGCCCGGTCCCGAACCGAATACGTGCAGTACGGACATCGATACCGACTCTTCGTTGCCGCCGTTATTAGTATTGCCACCGCCGCCGCCGCCACTACTGCTACCCGAATTCATCGAATAGTTATTAAAGCTATTATTGCCACCACTTTGACCATTGCCGCCACCGCCGCCATTGGTATTGCCATTGCTATTGCCACCGTTACCGTTGGACGTTAGTGTAAGTTTGAGCAGTTGGATACGATTATTGCTACGATCGGCCACTGCTATCAGATACTCTTTTACCGATGATGACGATTGACTGGATCGTCGGCCGCCGCCGAGTTGATGATCTAAATTGTTTAGGCAACCGTCTTTGTTGGGCAACCGTACAATGGCCACACCCCACGGCCGGCAAAACTGTCCCATTTGTGAACCCTCCGAACCGAACGTTGCGATACGTTTCCAGGCGTTGCGTACCCGTTTGGATTCGATGCCTACGATAAACGGTGCACCCGATATTGGTAGACCGTTGACCGCAACGGATATATGCACTTGACCTAGCTTTAGACCGCCGACGCCGCGCGGTATTGTATAGGTTACGGTATATTTGCCGTTATTGTGGTCTAACAGCGAATGGGGTATAGTTATCGTGTTTGACGACGACGACGACGATGAGGACATACTATTATTATTGGTGGTTGTGTTGCTGGTGGTGGGATCAGTCACCAGTATCTCAACGTCCAAGTGCTCGCCACCTGTCGACACATAAAACAGGTTACATAATGTGTGTTAAGATATTTAAAAAATAAGGTATATTACCAATTAGGAGTTCCTCGTTAAAACAGTTACGAGTGGTTATTGTAAAACAGGTAGCCTCGCCCTCGATGGCCGCCTCAACACCGTCACCGGTAGCGTTACAATTGACGGCCAGCGCGGGTGTCGTCAGAAAGCCCAAAGTAGTGACTGCCTTATACAGTGCACTATCAGGTCGGGTGAACGTAATCTGTGGCAACGCCAGTCCCAGATTGGCCATATCCAGGCTGTCCGCCGACGACGATTGAGTGGCGGCCGCAATGGACAGTACGGTAGCGTAGGTTTGTTTGATGTGTTCCAACTGTTTCAGCAGTTGTTCTTTGCGCATCTGAAGACCGTTCAGATGCAACTGTATGGTTGTCTGGATGTCGTTAGCAATGGTCCGGATTTGAGATTCAAAACGCGACATCAGTGTCGACGACGTGGACGACGATGACGAAGACGATGAATGCATCGACGCCGCTGTGTGTGCGGCTACCGGTCCACCCGCACCAGCCGTACACGATATAGTGTCCAACAGAAACGGCGAATTCAACATATTGGACATCGACGACGACGATGGTGTCGACACCATTGGCGGATAGCTGTTGGCTATACTGGCCAGCAATTGGTGGCTAACATCGGACGAATCGTCAGCGGCGGACGAATGGCGCGACGAGTGGGCCAACGGCGAGACCAGCGGTGGCATACAATTGCCATTACGAGAACCGTTGGTCAGATTACAGCCGCCGATACCGGTGCCCAAACCTAGTAAGTCGCCAATAGTCGAGTGATTATTGCCGGACGACGAACCGGACAGTCCGTGATAGTCAAACGGTGTCGTAATGTTCAGAAAGCTTAGATTGTTTGCTGCTGATGATGATGATGGTGTCGGCCGGCTTAAGCCGTAACCGGATAGACCAGTATTGGTGAGTAGCTGATGGTGATGCTGCTGCTGATGATGATGATTACCACCACCACCAGTGATTTGGTCGGTAGTACTGTTATAATGGTTGTTGGTATGGGTAGTATAGGTGGCAGTGGGAACAGCATTAGTATAATGTGAACTGTTGTTCAAGTTGTTGTTGTTGGCCACAACCACCAAATCGGATAGCGTGGACAACGGTGGCAATGAATTGTTGTTCATCATCATCATCGACGCCGACGACGAAGAATTATTGTTTGATCCGACAATATTGTTCGGGTCGTTGTTGATAAGGTTAAGGGCGTCCGAGTGGCCGCCTCTTAGCGACGATAGTCTCTCTCTTTCTTTTTCTTCAATCAATAGGTTGCGGATTAAGTTGAGTATATGGGTCTCATCGTTGGAGGCCATCCTTGTTGTAGTTGAGGTTATGGTAGTTTTTTTGTTGTTGAGGTAGTAGTAGTAGTACTGGGTTACTGTCCAAAGCAATTAGTCAATCAAATATAGAGGAGGTAGTAGTAGTCGTTAATCTCCGAAAATCGTGGTCTCATTAAAAAAAAACCAATTGCTTGTCTGTGGATGTCTTCAATAGTTTTTTTAAAAAAAAAATCTTTTAAAACTATTTTTTGAGGTATAATGAATAAATTAATTGTGAATTTAATTATTAATAATTGATGAGATGATGTTTGTTTGTTTAGATAATAAAAAATACCCGCAAATTATTATTATTATTAATAATTTTTTTTTTTTTAGTTAAATATATAATAATATTAATTATGTAAAAATCTCGTGTATGTCTTGTATTTATGTTGGATGTGTTGTTTTGTACTCATTTAGTGTATAGTCGATCACCGGATCGGTTCCCGATATATATATATATATATATATACAATAGTGACGGACCAGTTGTTTATTTATATATATATATATATATATGTATTAATTGTTATATATATATATATATTATATTTAAAAAAAAACGAAAATAATTATATTATTATTAATTGCAGTAATAATAATAATAATTATAATTATTATTAATAAAATACCAGTAATTATCCGAACAAACGATTAGATCAGCGATACTTGAGGTATATCTTCAAATATAAGTTATAATAATGGCTTCAAATGGTTTGAGCTCTTGTTTATGGTTAATAATAAATGGTAATAAAGTTATGATAATATATATAATAATAATAATAATAAGTGAATGAATTGAGAAATCATTGAATTGAATCAATCAATCAATGAATTGGCTGTTGATGTGGTGTTATGTATGTATTATATATATATATCTCTCTCTCTCTTCCTATGATGTCTTGTAAAATGGTTTTGAGGTATTGGTTGATACTTGAGATGAGATAATAATAATAAACCCGTTTTGTTGTTGTTGTTGAGGTCGTGGTGTTTAAGGATTACCAATAAAAATACCCGTAATTGGTGTGTGATTGTTGTTGTTGTTGTTATCTTCAGCCCCCAATTGATCCACAATTGAATAGTAATGTGTTTTAATGGATTTGAATCAAATGGTAATGTTGTTGTTGTTGAGGTCGTGGTGTTTGTTATATATCATATGATAATGGCTTAAGGATTACCAATCAAACAAAAAATACCCGTAAATTGGTGTGTGATTGTTGTTGTTGTTGTTGTCTTCAGCTCCCAATTGATCCACACTATTGGTGTGTGTATTTGATTTGAATTTGAATCAATTGGTTGGTTTTGATTGATTGACTACTGTTTCATCGAAACGTCACCATCGATGACGACGACAATAATATCTTCATTTTAATCATCATATTGTTGTTGATGTTGTTGTTGTTGTTGTTGTTGATGACGACGATATCAATTAGTGGTAAATCTAATACATTTGCATCCATTGAGACCATTGTTGTTGTTATCTTTGAGATCATCAAAAATCAATGGTTAAAAAAAAAATTTTGTTTTAATTATCTTTAAAAAAATCAAATACCTTTGTTGTTGTTGTCGTCGTTGAATTGATTCAATCAATTGATACCAACAATCATCAAAAAAATCAATGGTAATCAATCAATGGATGCAATCAATCAATCAATTAATTAATTGATTGAAAACAATGTATTTATAATTTAAATGTGAAATAAAAAAAACAATGAAATACTTATTAATATTATTAATATTAATATTTTATATTAMAATACAAACAATAAATAAAACAAAAATGAGATATAAATTGAATGAATGAATGAGTAGTTTAAACAAACACAACGACAATATTTTAGTACTAAAAATAATATATTAAATATAAAATAAAAAAATTTATTTAATTATTTTTTTGTGTGTATATATATATATTACTGATTAGTTGTTAAGCAATTGATGGCTACATTCACACAATGTATATGTATGTGTATATGTACTATATATATGATAGTATATATACTATATATAGTGTATATTAATGACGACATCATATATCAAACACATATACACACACTCACAATAAGAGTTGACGACCTCAGAGCCAACAATATGTAAGGCTGTACTGAGCCCAGGCCTCAGCAACAGCAGCACAGGGAGGCATTGAGAGAGAGAGAGAGAGCACAGGCAGCTAAATGTATAGATAGTAAACCCTTTTTAATGTTTTTTAATACTAATTATTATCTGTATACTGTAGATATGTTTTTTTTATATATGTAAATAGTATGACACAATAATATTTTTTTTTTAATATTAATCCTGGACATTTAATTGTTTAATTTTTAAAAATATAAAATAATAATTATTTTTTTATTGTAAATTTCCTTAATATTTTAATTCTATTTATTGATTTTTTTTTTGAAATTGTAATATTCTATAATTAATTATTTTTTTAAAAATATAATTTTACTATTATTATTATGATTATTGTAAACTAGATAAAAATTAATTAATTAAAAAAAAGTATTTATAATTAGATTTTTTTTAAATATGTGATAAATTAATTTACAAATAAAAATTAATAAATATTTTTTAATTTATTTTATTATATAAAAATTTTTCTACTTTAGTAAGTTATTTATTACACATTTATTAAAATTACATTTATTTTGTATTATTTATTTATTTATGATTAAAATATTTAAATAAATATTTAACAGAATATTATTATTTTGTTTTCTACAGTAATTTCATTAATAATATTTGGTCACTCTTTTTATGATTAATTTTTTTTGTTGTTTCAACGCTCTATGTGTAGTCGTGTGCTTCAAAAGTGTACAAAAAAAAATCTATGTATATGTAGTTATACTATAGATATTTTTTCAACTACCAGTGTGCATGGGGACGACCTTCACAGACAAAGGGTTAGCCCCTAATACACTCACACACACACACATACATGCATACACATACATACATACATGCATACACATACATACATACATGCATACACATACATACATACATGCATACACATACATACATACATACATACACACATACATATACACACATGTAGGCATTACACACACATATTTTACACACATTTATATACATACACACATACATGCATGCATACACACACACATATATATACATACATGCATGCATACACACACACATATATATACATACATGCATGCATACACACACATATACATACACATACTTGCATGGATACACACACATACGATACATGCTTGCATACTTGCATACATACATACATACATACATACATACATACATACATACATACATACATACATACATACATACATACATACACACACACACACACACACACACACATACATACACACACACATACATAGCACTGGCAAGTGTTTAAAAACCAGCGCACAGTGTGTTTGGTTTGGCAATGATTGCACAACATTACTACTATTACTACTACTATTAGTTTTATTTTTATTGTTTTAATATGCATTATATAAAAAAAATACTAAATTATATATATATAAGTATTAAATAGCATATTCACACTATTGTTTAGTCACACTTAACTATAACTATAACAAAAATATGTATTTAATAAAAATTAGTTGTAAACTTGTGTAGAGATTTTTTTTAATACATTTTTTTTACATAAATATAGTTTTTTTTTATAAAAAAAATTATTATATGATTACTATTACAATAAATGTATATAATTTTTTTGTTTTGTTTGATAAAAAAAATACATTACAATAATTTTTTAGATTTTTAGCACTCTCTACCTATAAAATAATAATAATAATAACTAGATAATTTTTTTAATAACATAGCTGTCTTTATTATACTATATTATTATTTTTTGTTGTTGATAAATTGACTAGCTAATAATTATCACATTATTTTTTTTATCAAACCGCACGCTATATATTTAAGTGGTTATATAATATGTATATTTTTTTTTGTTAAAAAATAAATTAATTTTTTAATAATATTATTTAAGAGAATTTTTTTGTTTGTTTTGTGTGTTAAAATTCTGTTAAAAATTTTATTTATAGAAACAAACAAATAAAAATTTTAAAAAGAAAAAATATTTTTAGGTTTTTTTTTGTAACTATGAGAATATTTTTATTGTATTGTAAAATAAATAAATAATTCACTTAACAAAAATTTTTTTTTAAAAAAAAAATTTAATAGTTTTTATAGTTCACATATAACTGTTATTTTAATGATTTTTATTTTTAATTTTTTTATTCACTAGTGAATTTTTTTTTTTAATAATAGTAAAACAAATTGTTTTTTTATGATAAATAAAATTAATTAAATTAATATACAGGTATTATATGTATATAATAATAGTAATAAATAGATTACGTTTATATAATACAATAATAATAATAATCTATTGTGTGTGTGATGTAATTGATGTATAGTATATAAACTATTTTGAACCAGGGTAAATAATAATAATAAAAACTAGAGGTGTCAATAAAAATGGTATTTTATTTTAATTTTTTTTTAAAACCAAACCCGTATATTTAGTAATTTTATTTTATAGATAAAATTAAAAACAATTATATTTAAAAACCGAAACATAAAAATATTTTAATTTTTATATGTATAAAAATTTAACATATTTAAAAAAACGCAATTAAATAATTATTTATAAAAAAAAATCTAAAACATTATATTTAAAACTGTCATGTCTGCCTCTATTGCTATAGCAACAGTAAACAAGTGGTATAATAGGTATATATATATAGTACTTGTTTACTATTGCTATAGCAATAGAGGCATGACATGACAGTTTTAAAATATATATAATTTTTTAGTTAATATAAATAATTATTTTATTGCATATTTTTTTTTTAAAAAAATGTTAAATTTTTATCAACATATTTAAATAAAAATATTTTTTTTTCTAGGTTTCGGGTTTTTAGGTATATAATATGTATATTATTTTTTTTTATTATTTTAAATAAAAACCCGGAAACCGAACCCAACTCAAATGCTGTACTCTATTTGCTATTTTCAATGTCTATGATAGTGCATTAAAAACTGTCAGATTATATACAAAACCAAAACAAATAGTAGACGCACCACACAAGCATGATAGATTACATTATCATAGATTACACTTAATATATACATATAAATTTAAATAGTGGGTGTATAATAACTATATAACACATATATATAGTCTATGTTTTATTTTTATTTTTTTTTAAAAAAAACTCCACCCCCCTCTAAGTATTAAACAGTAATATTTAGCGCCTATTATACATACACTACTGTATTGTTTTGGTTTTGAATATAATCGAATAGTTTTTTTTTTATTAGAGGTGTGTATAACTAACTATATTGAGCGACACTTTTATTATTATTATATTCAAACACAATATATATATATACAGTATATATATTTAACATATAGTACAGTATAGTACACATACAATATACACTACACATACACCTACTGTTTTAAATGTTATAGTATTATACAGTACTATAGTAGTAGTGATTGCTATTGAATGACTCAATACAATACAATACAATACAATACAATATATAGTACAGTATATACTAAATAACAAATACAACTAAAATCACTGGTATTTCAATAGTATATTATTATTCAGTAGTAGTAGTGCTAAACGTTTGCCATATTTTTTGTTGTTTTAATAGCCATTGTTTTTGTCAAACAATCAATCAATCAATCAATCAATAGGTTATCCAACAACAAAAAAACCTAACCATCCATACAATTAGTGTTATATATCATACTATACTATCGTGTCGTCGTCCACAACAACAATGTCATCGGCAGTACCGCAGTCCGGGTCACAACAACAACAACAAAATGCTTCATCAAAGAGACTACAGCAGACACAGGCACAGGTAGGTTATGGTTTTGGTTATTATACAGTATATAACAGTTGTTTAACCCAACTGATCCCAAYACAACCCAATAGATACCATCCCATAGATCCCAACACAACCCGACAGATCCCAAACCTACCGACAGATCCCAACACAACCCAACACAACCCAACCATCCCAACAGATCCCAAACCTACCGACAGATCCCAACACAACCCAACCMTCCCAACAGATCCCAAACCTACAACCCAACAGATCCCAATACAACCCAACAGATCCCAAACACAGTCGATCTTTAATCTAATTGTTTTGTTTTTGTTTSTTGTTTTCGTAATGGACAGGTAGATGAAGTGGTGGGTATAATGCGAACCAATGTTGAAAAAGTATTGGAAAGGGATAACAAATTGTCTGAATTGGACGATAGGGCCGATGCCCTACAGCACGGGGCCTCACAGTTTGAACAACAGGCCGGCAAACTTAAGCGCAAGTTTTGGTGGAAAAATCTTAAGGTAAGGGATGACTGTCAGTGTCAGTGTGTATCTGTCCGTCCATACATGCCATCCCATCAATCCTATCAAATCAAGTGTCGACACACATACACATAATCAATATGTAAAAGGTTTAGTTTAATTTGATAGCCCAGTTAGTTGTCGGCGTCGACACTAAAAATTATTGTTTGTAATTAGTTTATTGTTTAGTTAGTGTTAGTTATGATTAAGTTTTTTATAATTTTATTTTAATGCCATTTATTAGTGATAGTTATTAGGTAACAGTAGTATTAGGTATTAACAAAAAAAAAGTTATTTAACAACAAAAACAAACAGTTATTTATTGATTAGTATTAGTTAGTTATATATAGTGTAGTGATAGTTTGAATTGTATTGTCTTAATATTGTCAKATATATGGTATGTATTGATATATAAAAACAAAAAAGTTATATAATTTTTGTTGTTGTTGTATTGAAACTACCGGTAATATTATTGATTGAATCTAATTGATTACATAATATGTATGTATGTTTATACTGTATATATATATATATATATGATATATATATATATATATATATATGATTAGATGATAGCATTGATGGCCGCCATCATCATTGTGCTGATACTAATCATCAGCAGTAAGTTGTTTTTTAAAAGACATTTTAATTAATGTATTTGTTTTTTGTTTTATTTTATTTTTTCAATATGTTATCTATAATGGCAATGTTGTTGTTCATCCAATTGATTTGATWTSCCATATGATCATCAATGCACTTACACACCCACCYACACCTATCAACTACCTAACCTCACACACACACACCCATCAAAAAATGATTGAATTGTTGTGTCCATTGAATTATCAATATATATCTATTATTTACCAATGCATCCAATTAGATGATATTGATATTAGTGGCCATAGCCATCGTTATATTGATAATTATTATTGGTATGATTTTTWTTWATTTATTTATTTTTTTATTTTTTAATAATATATTTATTAATTTAGTTTTTTTTGTTGTTGATAACTATATATTATTAATTAGTTAATGATTTATTTATGATATATGTTTTTTTTTAATTTGTATTGTTTGTATGCAATGTTGTTATGTTATGGTTATGAATATTTATGGCACACATTATAATTGGATATAATTTGTTTGTTAAAAATTTTTTTATAAGCATGGTGCATCAATTTTTTTAATAATTATTATTTAATTTATTACAAGTTTTATATATATATATATACCCCCACCCCCCAGTACTACCCAAATAACGYCCACCCTATCCCCCCCAAAAAAAATATWATAATAATTTCYGACTAAATAAAGTAATTTTATACTACAATTAACTTTCATATATTACTTACTACTAATAATAAAATATTTTTTAAGATATATTTTTTTGATAAATACAATGACGTATATAATTATTAATAATGAAAAAATATTTTCACAATAATAATAATAATAATAATATTTAGCTTAGCAATTGCAATGAACTAAGCAAATAAAATTATTGTTATCATTGAAAACTTTAGTTAAATAGTTTAGTTATTATTATTAATAATAATATAATTATCTCTATATAATAATAAAAAATACAGGTAAACCAAGTTTATATASTGTGTATGTATTTAGTGATTAATATTATTAATAATAATAWTTTTTTTTATTGTTTTGTTAATTTTGTTAATTAGTCATCACATATACACACATAAATAAATTATTAATATATATAWAAAAATTTTGTTGTTTGTTATCTTAGTTTMTTATTTATCATAATTTAATTAATTTAATTAATTGAAACACATTTTATCTATTATTATTATTTTGTTGTTGTATTTATTTGTTATTAATTGATTATTWTTAGTTTTTTTAACTAAAAGTTTTATCATTTATTGAAAAAAAAAGTTTTATTGAACTTATTGATTAAATTATATATATATTTATTTATTTTTTTGTTATGGGGGGGGGTATTGAACATAATTAATATGTGTGTGTGTATATCCTGGGTYATTTTTTTATTATTTTTAAAAARTTATTTTTACACTAACTTAAGTAGTAATAATTTAAGGTATAATATGAGATTAATATGAGCTTTAAATTGTGATAATAATATTAATATATATATATATATRTATATAATCTATATATACTGTGTATATATATATATATAATCTATATATACTGTGTATATATATATATATAATCTATATATACTGTGTATATATATATAATCTATATATATATATAATAAATATTTGTACAATTGTTTAATCGATAATTAATAAATGTATAAATATTTATTTGTCATATATTTATTAWTAGTATATGTAATATATGAAAGTAATTGAATTACTTATTTATTCATTGATTGATGTGTTTTATATGTTATAATTAATATATAATAGTAATAAAAAAAATTGATTGATTTATTTATTAATAAATTATCTTTTTTTTGCCCCCATTTCTCTACCCCCTCTCTCTCTCTCTCTCTCTCTCAAAAAAGCCTGGTTTTCCGATTAATGATTTACTAATAGACGTATATTAAACAATAATAATAATCATTAATAATAATAATAATAATAATAAACAAATGGCTATTTGAAAAAAATCATTTTTTGCGCTAAAATCTTGAAAATAACTTATTTTTTTTGTTGTTGTTTGTGTGTATTGTTTGAAGAAAACAAATATAAAACAATCATTTTTTAACWAAAAAAAAWAWTTTWAAWTATAAATTGTCAACAAATCTCATCAGACAAACAAACAAATTTAATTAATTAATTATTTATTTATAATCTAATAATAAAACAAAACAAACAAAAAAAAAACTATTTAATTATTTTAATAATAGATTAATCTATTTAACCAAAAAAAAAATAAATAATGTTTAAGTAATTGTATATTTATAACAAACAAACAAACAAAAAGTATTTATCCTAAAGTTTTTATTATTGAAATCAATTGGTATTATATAATAATAATAATAAGTAATATTGTCGTTGAAATAATTAATAGTATAATTGTTTTATTTGTTTGTTTTTTTTTTAAATAATAAATTGATATAATTAGATGTTTTTTAGATATTTAGATAGTATTAGTGTTTGATTAAACAATATGTTAATAATCAAACAATTAATTTATTAATTAATTAATTAAATTATTTATAAATTATAGGTACAGGGATCACATATATATTAAAATTATTATTATTATTTAAAAAAAAAATAATTAACTAACTAACAAAGTGTTTTTGTAAAAATTTAATTAAATTAATAAAATTTTGAGCATGGTTGTTTTAAGTAATAATAATGATACATAAGTAATTACATTGATTTTTTTGTTGTTATTGAAACAAATTGGACCAAATTATACTAATAATAATAATAATGTATTTGTGATCCATGTTATCCTAAAAAACTGTGTCCATATTATAATAATATAAATTATATATATTTATTACAATAACTTATCAGTGTCAGTTTTTTTWTTAAAAATATAATGTTAGACATATTTAAATAAATATATATGTGTTTTAATTATATATATATATATATACAGTATATCACTGTTGCTGCTGCTAAATGTGTCTCACTTTTAAGCCTTAAAACAAAATACACAAAAAAATAAAATAAATAAATTGTTATTATAATTGTTGTYTAAAAAAAATCCCTCCACAAAAAAGTCCACATATCCTAACAAAATATATATATATATTTAAATACAGCAACAAAACCACCAAAAAAATAAAAATATTTTGCACTAAATGTTTATACAATTTTAAAAACAAACAAACAAACAATTTTTTTTAAATAATTAATTTTCGTGTAAAATGTGCCATAAATTGATACAAACAAACAAACAAACTAACTAATTATGTGTTTACTAATTTCTAACATATCCAACAAAATATATTTATTTATATATATTTGTCTTATCTATCAAAGTGTATGTGTTTTTTTAATTACCTAATTGTTAAACATTTTTTTAAGAGAAAGGATTTCTATATATATAACTAACAAACTAAACAAAAAAAAACAATTTCCTTAAAAATTATTTGATTATTAATAATATAAATGTATTTAAAATGTTTGTATTGTTTCAAAAAAAACCAATTTGTTATTTATTTATTTGTTATTTTATTAATAAATGTATTATTGATTTTTTTTCTTCTATCGCCCAGTGGCCGCTACCTCTGGAGGTTCATAATTGACTGGACATAACCCCCCCACCCCTCCTCCTCCTACGCTTACCGTTACCTAATGTTTTGTGTCCTATATCTCTCATCACTATTGTATTGATATATATATATATATATATATATATATATATATATATATATTAATACAATAATTTTAATGTTGTGTCTTATTGTGTTCAAAATTGATTGATTGATATTTTTCATGTATTTCATAATATATATATATATTGAATATATATATTTTTTTGTAATTGTCTATATAAAAAAAAAATTGTGTCTCTCTATTGAATTATTTAATGTTTGAATTATCGTATTATTATTATTATTATATACAATTAATTTATAATATGAATATCTTTAGAAAAAAAAAAATTTGTATTTTAATGATTTTCAAACAAACAAAACAAAAACAAAAATCTCATACATAAAGAATTATTTTTTGATTTTATTAAATTATAAAAATTTATTGACAATTTTTTTTTTTAATTATACAATTAATTGTTTTTATTATTATTATGTAGTTTCTATATATATATATTTACTAAAATATTTGCTGTATATATCTATATCTATAAATTTATATAAATGTTATGTTTCCTATCTATCTATTGATATACTGTGATTGTTTTTTTTGCTATCATTATAAAAAGATTAATTAATTGTGTTTTTTTTTCTCTCAATAAATAGTTTTAAATAATTTAWATTTATTTATTTAATTTTTTCAATAATATTTTTCGCCCCATAATTTGTTAATTAATATATATTTTTTATCAATCAAATAGTTTGGGCCATTTATGGTTAAATATTATGGTTTTTTTGTTTTGTGTTTCAAAAGTATTCAAATAATATTTAAATCACAAACAAATAAAAAAGTGATTATAATTTAATAATTTTCTATATATATATATTGTTTTCATTATTATGTTATTGATTATAAGTGTTAATTATAATTAATTATTTTTATAAATATATATTTATCTAAAATATTTTATTGTTTCCTCCCCCGACCCCTCTCTCCCCCCCCCAAAAAAAGTGATTATTTACCTTGTTTCAATTTTTCAAAATACAAATTTTTTAATTTGTTTATTTACATATACAGTATAGTTATAAGTATTGATTATTTAATTTAATTAATTTTTAAAAAACAGTATTAATTTAGATATTGAGATAAATAAATGTAGTCTTAATGTGTGACAATAATTTAATAATTTATTTTTATTATTATTTAAATTATTTTTCAAATTATATTTAATAAATTAATAATAAAAAATTTCTTACCATTAAAAAATTATATAAATATATTAATGTAAAACAAAAAACAAAAATTTAATTAATATAAATAATTTTTATTATTATAACTTATGTTTATATTCAACAACAAAAAATTGTTTTTAAAATAAAATTTTATAATATTGTACCTATAATTACATTTACAGTATTATTATTATATATTAAATTATAAATTATTATTATTACATAAATTGTGTTTGATTTATTTTTTCAATATTATAATTTTTAAAAAAAACATTTACCCATACGAAAAATAAATGGATAGTTTTATAAATAAATAAATATTTATAAAAAATAAATAAATATTAAATAAAATAAATACAAATCATCTATAATTTATAAAAAAAATCAGGCACATTAACAGGCAGTATCACAATTAAAATTATCTAGGATAGTTTATTTGTTGATTTAAATTATTATTATTGATGATATGGCAGTAATTGTTGGTTATAATTATTTTTACAAAAAATAAATAAATATTTTTTTTTGCAATAATAATGCAAAATGTGATTAACAATTATTGGTTAAAATTGGCATTTAATTTGTTTTTTTTGTTGTTTAACTACCGCTTAAAAAATATAATTATAATTGCAATTATTATTATTATTATTATTATATGATATATCTATTGATATAATTGATTGAAGAAAAACTGATTGTCATTATCAATGGCCATCAACTGCTGTATTGGTGTCGTCGGTATTGTTGTTGGTGTCAACGGTGTCGGCGCCGGTATTGTCGTAAACATCGGTAGTCTCATAGCATTTAAACGGCTTTCATATGGACTATCCATATGTCGTGGATCATCATATGTGTCCGTATCGTCGTAATCTGCCGGTCCATAACATTGTTGTCCATAACAGGGCTGCTCCTGTTGGTGGCGGTGCTGGTGCTGGTGATGGTGATGGTGATGGTCATCATCATCGCTCATGTCGTCGACATCGTAATCAAATTGATTGCTATGAATATTATGGGCGGCAAACCCTTGTGAAGGAGGAAACGGTATGTTTTCGTAAAAGTTTTCGCCAACCATTACGCTGTTGTTATCGTCAAACTCATTGCCTCCACCATCACCTCCTCCTCCTCCTCCTCTACCACTACCCATACTACCGGTGCTAATCTTCTTAGGTTTTTTATTGCTGGACTTGTATTTACCAATTGAACCCATACTATCGTCAAATGTGTTGCTGCCATGAAATCCTGATTTACCATTTTTGCATTTATACAGATAGTTGATTTTGCGGACATCCAAATCCGATGGACATTCCAGACCCCTGCACCTCAAATAGGGAACCGTACGCCTGGGTTCAATGGTTGGTTTACGATTTTTTGAAAAAGCATACTGCCGATAGTGCATGACCGACATCAGGTCATAGGGAAAGCCGTGATCGGCCAGATAGTCGGTGGTATGTTTGCGGAAATTGCGTTTTGCAGCTATAGTTTTTGTGTTTGTTTGGTTTGTATGGTTAGGTTAGGTTAGATAATCAATAATCAATTAAATTATATAATAATAATATATTAATTATTATTTAACGGTGATAGGGGGGTGGGTGGGGGGTTAGAGATCATAGATTCCCATATCATTTAAAAAAAGTCATCCTAATGTTCTCCCCAGTGCTCCCCCGGGGGGAGGGAGGGAGGGGTGGGGGTGAATTCCTAGTGAATTTCTATTATTTTCTAGTCCTAACTATCCAATTGTTTTTAATTTATATATAAATGTTTGCATTTTTTTATAAAAAATAAACAAATATTATATTATAAACTTCTTAAATTTTTTTTAAGTTGTATTATAAATATATTAATTAAAAATAGTTTCACTAAATTTTTTGTTTAATTGAATTGTAAAAATATTTCTATATATATCAATATTTTTGTTGTTGTTGTAAAATATCTAAAATTTTGCTTATTTTGTTTATTGTAATACTATTTATATTTAAAAAAAATATATTTTTCTCTTTCTATCGATTATAACAACAAATATTTTCAACGGGAAAATATTAAATATCTTCTATCGGGAAAATTGGAGGATATTTTTATTTAACAAAAAAAATGGGGAACTTTCCTTTTTTGGGAATATTGATGGAACTCAACATATGTGTATAATTGGGTTTAAAATTTTTTAGGTTAACCCTACATATATATGTGATTGGGTATAAAAAAATTTTTTTTAGGTTAACCCCTACTAACTAACTAAACTTACCCTCTTTAATGTTATCCCATTTGATAACTACATGAGCGTCACGATCGGGTCGGGACTGTTCGTGAATAAACCCAACGGAATGCATCAGTTCGTGTACTACTGTCTCAAAACTATAGCAACCTTTGCCCAGGAATAGCCACTGTTGGCCACCAATACGGCCGACATGTGCGGCACAACCCGGCCCGCGGCGTATCCATACGTAATCGCTGTCCGATTCTTTGCGCGGTTCAAACTTAATACACGTTTTGTCCTGCAATGTCATAATGCCGCGGGCAATGGCCGCCCGTTCCTCTCGGGAAAACGTATTTTCCATTGTATACGGTATTCGGCCGTTTGGCCACCGTTTAGCCGAATACATGGCCACCTAAGGAGGAGGAGGAGCAGTGGTAGGTTATGGGACGTCACCCAATAAAACAAAAACCTATTGGTTAAACACCGTTACCTTTTGCTCCTCGTCCTCTTTGATCATCATATCTCCCTCGTAGTAGGTATGCTGTGACTCCGGGTCCTCGAAAGGCATACTATAGTAATCGGATGATGTTTCGTCAAACTCGAGCATCTGTGCCGCCAAACGGAAGTCATCTTTCGATAGGAATGTCATATCCGATGGCTGGTCATCCCATCCTATAGTTTTGATTTTTCATTGAATTATTATACAAAAAAATACAATGTATTTATTAAATTAATTAGTAATTAATTAAATTATTTTTATGATTAAGTATTACATGAATTAAATAAATAAAATTATTTTTATATATTTATATTTTTATTATTGCTAAAAAAACAATTTCAAATCATATAGTTTCTTTGTTAATTAATTATATAGTGCATATATTTAAAATATAAAAATAATTATAAATGTTTGTTTTTCAATATTGGTATATTTTGATTATATATATATACATAAAAAATTAATTTAAAATATATTATTATATATTGTTTAAATTTTTTTTCATATATAATAATACATATATTTAAATATTTTAAATAATTTTTATTTTTAGGTTTTTAATAGTAATAAAAAAATTTTTAAAAATAAATGTTTTAAATGAGTAAATTTAAATATTGAATTTTGTTTAATATAATAACTTTTTTAAAAAAAAAATATTTACAATAAAAAAATTAGAGATAAAACTTCAAAAAATATATAATTTAATTAATTGAAAATTATTATTAAAATTAAATATATTTATATATTTATAAAAAAATAATTATAATTATCAAACCTCTATATTGTTGAGATGATTGTGTTGGCAATAGTAGTAGTAGTGATGACATCCACTTAAACATTACAACAATTAATGCCACAATTGATGATGACTTCATTATTATTATTATTATTATTATTATAACTGATTTATCATTAGATGGATGGGATCTTTAAAGACAATATTATACATACATACAAAACACACACACAATTTAGTCACTGATAAAAACACAAACGGAAATAAACGGAAAGATTTTTTTTTGTTTAATTTTTAATTTTTAATTTTTTTTTGGGTAACAATTGTAACGATAATGGCTTTGAAGTTATCACTACTACTACTACTACTACTACTACTACTACTATACTATACAAACAGTATACACACAACTAAAAAATTTACGCAACAATGACCACAACAAGTGTAACACATAAAGTAAAAGAAAAAAAATTATATATATTTTTTTATTTTGTTTAGTTTTATTTTATTTTATTTTTTTTTTGATCAATCATTTCAATTGATTGCTTATGTGTTAAGTGAAAGCAAAGTCAATGAGAGTGACTGACTGACTGACTGACTGACTGACAGAGAGAGAGAGAGAGAGAGAGAGAGAGAGAGAGAGAGAGAGAGAGAGAGAGAGAGAGAGAGAGAGAGAGAGAGAGAGAGAGAGAGTATTATTGAGATTATTAGCTTTTACTTAAATAATTAAACATTAAATGACATAATTATTATTATGTGTAACTATAGGTCCAATTATTAGGGTATTTAATTTATACTGTATATACAGTGTATATATCTATTGTATATATAATAAGACAAATATTTGGGTGACAGTCACACAGTCAGCACTAACTGCACTAAACTTTTTTTTTGTATTTTAACACAATTTATACAATTTGTATATAAATTATATATTAAATTATTTTTTGACAATATTTATATACAATTATTATTTTATTATACTGTATATATATATATATATATATGTTAGCACTTTAACTAAATACATTCAATTGTTTTACTTAAATAATTTAAGTTATAATTTATATCGCTTTTTATTATTATTATTATTTACATATTTAATTACTACTACTACTACTACTACTACTACTACTACTACTACTACTACTACTACTACTACTACTACTACTACTACTACTACTACTACTACTAAATAACTAAATGTAATTTAGTTACATATAATTTACATATTAATTATGATTAACATATAATAAATAATATTTTTGCTTAAATATATTCATAATATGTTTTTTTAGTTAGTATTTTATTATTGTCTAAACAAATAATTATTCATAAAATTTTTATTTAATAGCTAAATATGTTTTATTTTTAAAACACAAAAAAAACGATGATTTTTTAAACTAAATATTAATTTTTTTAAAAAATATTTATAAAACATTTATTTTATGTATATATATACTGTATTTACAAATTGAAAATGTATTGAGATATTATATATCAATTATAAAATATAATATAAAAATAATTACTATATCTATATATGTTTAATTTGTATATTAGCAACTATAATGAGTTTATTATTATTATTAAATACTTTAAATTGTTAAATAATTTGCTTTAAGTAATAGTTGTAATAATAACAACAAAAATCTAAAATAAATGCTAAAAATTTATAATACAAAAAAATTAGTTCAAAATATTAATATTCAACTAGAAAAATAAAACAATTTTTTTTAAACAATTGATATAACTTATTGATATACAATAGAAACTATTATATTAATGCTAATTAATAGTTATCAACAATAAAATAATAATAATAATAATAAACAATACGGAAGTAATTTTTGTTTTGTTTTTATTTTTCAATTGATATCTAATAGTCTATTATTTGGTTAGTTAAACATTAGGATTTAAACCTTGAATATATTTATAATTTTTTTTAAATAAAAAATATAAGTTTAATATAAAAATTTTTGAAAAAATTTTATTTATTGAAATTGAAATTAATTAAAAATTTTTATAATTAAATAATAAATATTAAATTAAATGATAAATTATAAACATTATATTTTAAATCAACAATTAATTAAAATAAATGTCAAACAATTATTTAAGGTATAATATCAATATTTATTTAAAAAAAACAATTGTTATTTTTCTATAAAATTTTTAACCTATAATATTATAAATTAAATATTTATTTATTTTTATTAGATGTGATTTATATAACAATAATAATAAAATAAATTAATAGCAAATATAAAAATAAATAAAAAAATATATATAAAAACCACATACTTGTTGTTAAAACTATTGAACCAACAAAACAACAACAAAATATATATATATAAAAATAAAATATCGATCCATACTATCAATGACTATCACTATAGAGACACCACTTTTATTTTGGTGAAGTAATCAATAGTATTATATATATATATATATATATATTGTATATATATGTATACCTATAGTATTCCTATGGATATTCTATACTATATATATATATATTATATATAGAATTTATACTACAGTACAGTATGTTTTATATACATATATATATATATATAGCAAATGTTAGCTAACATTAGCTAAATTTTAGTATTACTATTATCAATACTGAGCACTGGTAGGTGTTTTTGAGAGATGCTCGCATTTATTTTGTAGGTATTACACAGTGTATAACTGTATTATACTGTATTATTAGTAATAAAAGTACTGTCGATCTTATAAATGGTTGTGTTTTTTAAATATATATATATATCTATATAATATATGTATGTTGTTGTCCAACAATTTTTATTTTGTTGAAAAATATATTTTAAACTAAAAAACAATTTTTCAATTATTAATTAATTGTCTTCCAATTGTTTACTAAAAAAAATAATTGATTTTTAATTACAAAATGTGTCTAAAAAATGTGTAAAATTCATAATTAATTGTATTATCTATCCGTATAAGTGTAATGAGTTTTTTTTGATGGCATAGAATATATTATTTAAAAATATATAAATAGATATTTGTTTAAAAATAATATAAAGGTATGAAATAAATTATTTATTAAATATTATTATATTTTTATATATATAATATGGTTATATATATATTAAATACATAATAAATATACTATACTATTGACTTGAATTTAAATTTAATAATAATGCAAAATTTTTCAAGAATATTAATAATAATATATATTTTAATTAAATATAAACATTATTTTATTTTCACATATTTATATTAAAAAAATTATTACATATACAGTGTTAAGTATATATTATAATATGTTTTTATTAAAACAATAATTTATATATAATTTAATTTGATTTTTTTAAAAATAAAAATTATATATTAATAAAAAAAATTGATTTATCAATAAAATTGATTTTTAATTGTTTTATATTATATAAGACATGGACTCATCAAATCAATCGATGACATCGTTTCCCCGGCAAAACAATATCGACGACTATTGGGATCAGTCATCATATCAGACATCAATCAATAACAACAACAATATGATTGGTCAACAACAACAACAACAAAGTGGTGGTACTGGTGGTGGTGGTAGTGGTGGTGGTATACCTAACAGACAATACAGTCAATCCCAACAACAACAACAAGAAAATCAAATACCATTTAATACTAATAATATAAATATCAGTTCATTGAATATAATCTGGAATTATGTCAACAAAGAGCTGTTTATATCGAAAGTGTTTTATTTTTTCTTCTTCTCGGCCTTTGGATCGCTGTTCCCATTAATGGCCGTATATTTTAAACAATTGGGAATGAATGCCATTCAGGCAGGTATGTCATACAAACACACATATATACACACACATAGACACATATAATTTACTAGTATATACTAGTACATACATATATACATATACTAGTATATATATACATATACTAGTATATATATACATATAGACACACACATATATAGACACACACACATAGAAACATATTTACACACATACACATAGACACACACATATATATATACATACATATACATACATAAACACATACATACACAAACACATACATACACAAACACATACATACACAAACACATACATACACAAACACATACATACACAAACACATACATACACAAACACATACATACACAAACTCATACATACATTTGCACACACATATAAATACATAAACACACACATACATACATACACATATATACATACATACACATAGACATACACATACATACACACACATAGACACATAGACACATAGACACATAGACACATAGACACATAGACACATAGACACATAGACACATAGACACATAGACACATAGACACATATACACACACACCTCCTCTAACTCCAACCCCTCAATAGTATAGTAGTAGTCTAACCAATAATGATTAAAAATAATAATGATATTATTAATTAATTTTTAATTTCAATTGACAACCAACTAACAACAACAAAAAAAATCAAGCAATCAATCAATCAATTGACAAATAAATTATATTATATATAATCATCATCATTATATATATAGGCAATTGATTTGTCTAATTAACTAATATACAATAATTTTCTAACACAATAAATGCTTGTAATGCCTAAATAATAATATAGTAATAATAATAATAATATAGTCTTGAAAGTTATAAAAAAAATCAAAAATTATTATCATTATTATCATTAGTTTAATTTACTCAACAACAAAAAAATTATTTCATTTAATAAATGTCATTATGATTTAACCTCAATAGTTTTTTTGTTGTTGTCAACTATAGTTAATTGTAATTTAATTTTAAGTAAATACAGTATAATTAAATAATAATAATAATAATAATAAACAATAAAAAAATATATACCATTTAGTTATATAAAAAAAATTTAAAAATTAAAACTTATAAAAAATGATAAGATATTAACTATTAATTTTTTTTGTGTGTTTATGTTTATTCAATTATAATTGATTTATATTTTATATATTACAATAAAATTTTATTAATTTGATTAAAGTATAATATATATATATATATACTTAATATAGTATTTATTAAAAATTAATATAATAAGTCAAAATAAAATAAACTTTTATATATATATAAAGTACATATAATAAATATTATATAACTAGAGTTGATAATTAATAATAATAATAACTTTATTTTTTTTATAAAAAAACATTAAACATAATTTATAACAAAAATTTATTATAAAAACAAAATTAACTAAATAGTTAAATTATATTTATAATTAATTCATATATATATATAATTAGAGTATTTTATTTTACTAAAAATCATTATATATAATTAAAAAATAACATTATAAGTTAAACCAACAATTAAAACTGTTAAGTTAACTAAATTTTTGTTTATTAATTTTTAAATTTAAAAAAAAAATTATCATCTACCAGTTCAACTTAAAAAAACCGCTAACCGGTTTTTTTTAATTTTGTTGCGGTTGTGTTGTCTTTAAGGGACTTCCCAACCACAGATAGTTTTGTTATGATTAGTTAGATCGGTCAATAGGACAGTAATTGTCAGTACACTGCGTGGGTCGGTATGAGACCAGTACTCGACACTCCAACTAATCAAAGTAACAGTTGTCTCGCGTGGGTCCGATTGAGACCAACAACTGATTGTAGTATCAACTGGTCGGCCAGTAATTGACTTAACAGTTGATGATAGGATTGCTTGAATGCCACGGTGTGTGTCACTCAAACAATAGACAGATCTGCAGTAGTGGTGACCCGAGTTAGGCCAGGGAGGAGATCCTAATATACTTGAATGACTTCTAGACTTCAGAGTTCAGTTGACCAGAGGAACAGTAGGTGAACTAGTGATGTGACGTTTCAATGACTTTACTCACAATTAATATTAATTCACTTTATTTAATAATAAGATAAAAATGTATGAATACAATGGTTGTTAACTGTAGGTATTATAAGCACATGTAGTTGAGTGTAATGGTATGAATTACTGTATAAAATGTCAGTACAGTTTGGCGGTTAGGTATACACTCTCTCTCTAGTAGTGTAGCAGTACATTGGGTTTTTATAGTGTGTGTGAGGTACAGGTATGTAATGGTATTAAATGGGTAGCTATTGGTTAGTTCAAATAAAAGACAGTTGGACGGTTAGATCGGTCTAATGGTGCCAATAGGATGACCTAAATGACCGATCATACCAGGAATAGGTGTAAATGGATAGTTGTCGGCAATAAAAGTACTTAAGTATAATATGGAATGCACTATAAAATAGGTATCAATTAAAAGGTATATAAAAATAGATATTCAAAATTATAGCTAAAAGTAATATAATAGATATCCTCAACACTCCCCCGCGTTTTAAGACTGATCCCGGAGGAAGTATGGTTCCAGTTGTCCGACGTGGATCAGGAAGGGTTCGGATGAGTCGTTGTATCGTTTAATATGCGCGTTGACGGGTCCAGGGATTGATGTCACGGTGAACGGTCCTTCATATTTCGGTGATAGCTTTTTGAAATCCGGACGATTGTATGGTATGCGCCGTTTAACCAGTTGTCCAACCTTTAGATCGATCGGGTGGTGACTTTTGTCATACGCTGCTTTAGTTCTTGCTTTGATGAGATCCGTACGATGTTTGGCCAGTCTTCGGGCTTCATGTATGTCGGTTTGGGTATTCAATGTGTCCGTTCCAAACATCAGGTACGAAGGTGTGAATTCAGTGACTGTATGAATAGTGTTGTTATAGTTATCGGTCACTCCTTTCAATAATGTTGTCCATTTTCGGCGAGGGTTAGCCAATAAAGCGATAGATAATCCCTTTTTGACCGATCCGTTGACCCTCTCATTTGTACCATTTGTCTGCGGATGATATGTAGACGTAAATAGATGTCGGATATTGCTATTAGTCAGGAATCTCTTGAGTTCTTTTGACTTGAATGTCTTAAAGTTGTCGGTTAATATAGCGTCAGGTTCGCGGCCAGTTGTCTTAATTAGATCGGTCAACACTGATATGCATGCTTGAGCCGAATTAGTTGGTGTGGCTTTAGTCCAAATATATCGCGAGTGGTGATCGATCACGACTTGTATGTATTTATGTCTTGAGTTGGCCGCTTCACTGCCCATAACTATGGTATCCATAGCGATGAGTTTGAGCGGAAGGTCTGGTGTCGGTAATGGCTGTAGTTCACCATATGGTGTATGATTCGCTGGTTTTGCCAGTTGACAGATATGACATGACTTGACATACTGTTTAATATCGTATATCATTGATGGCCAGTAATAATGTTTTTTGATTTGCTTAGTGGTGATACGGATTCCTGGATGACCACTACTGTCGTGCGCTTGTTCTAATAATGGATGTACTAGACTCGGAGGTATGATGGATAGAGATCGGCCATACTTGGGGATGGTATACAGTTCATCCAAATTAGTTGAATGGAAGACCGATCGATTATCAGATGTTGATTTCGGTAGTGTTTGATCGGTCGATGTTACCACTCGAACTGGTTCTTCATATACCGCGTTAGCTTCGGTGTCCTGTATTTGATGTTGCAATATGACTTGATCACGTATAAAATAATTGATAGGTGCGCGGGACAAGGCGTCGACGTGAGCCATCTGAGATCCGGGTTTATGTATAACCTCAAAGGTATACAGACTAAGCTCTTCAGACCATCTGAAGAGTCGTTTTTTAGTAGATTGAAAATTAATAAGCCATTTGAGGGCCTTGTGGTCTGTGTATAGTTTGAAGTTGACTCCTTCCAAGTATATACGGAAGTATCGTATAGAGTCAAACACTGCTAGACATTCCAGTTCGGTAACTGTGTAGCGTGATTCGGCGTCAGCGAGTTTACGTGAGTAATAACCGATCGGTCGGTCATTTTGGATAAGTATTCCGGCGATTCCTATTGTTGATGCATCGGTATGTAATTCGATAGGTTGGTTGGGATCATATATAGCCCGAACCGGTTCCGATGCCATCAATTCCTTGAGTTTGTCGAACGATTGTTGGTGTTGATCGGTCCACAGGAAGTCCTTTGATTTAGATTTTTTCATTAGTTGAGTCAGTGGAGCAGTTATAGTTGCAAAATCAGGAATATATTCTCTTAAATAGTTGGCCAGTCCATGAAAGCGTTGAACTCCCTTTTGATCGGTCGGCGTCGGGAAGTCCATTATGGCTTTGATTTTAGAATCGGGTGGTCGAACGGATTGACCATCGATATGATGTCCTAAAAATTCGATGTTATGTTTATCAAACTCACATTTTTCTTGTTTGAGGCGAGCGTTATTGAGAGCCAGGCGTTTGAATACTTCAGCCAATATGTTGTCGTGATGCTCCTGAGTTTTAGCGTAGATTATTATGTCGTCGAGGTATGAGATTACGCCATTGTTGTGTAAGTCGCCTAAAATCTTACGGACGACTCGGTGGAACGTTGCAGGGCTGTTCTTCAGTCCAAACGGTAGAACGGTCCACTCGTAGTGGCCGTCGCGGGTTACGAATGCTGTTTTGGTAATATCTTCGGGAGCAACGGCTACCTGCCAGTAACCCGAAGCAAAGTCAAGCTTAGAAAAGATGACCGATCCTTGTAGTCGATCGATCACGTCTGCGATGACTGGTAGAGGTGTCTTATCAGCAACGGTTACCGAATTGAGTCGACGGTAGTCAATACACAAACGAAAGGTGCCGTCTTTTTTGGGCGCCAAAGTAATCGGTGCTGCGTATGGGCTAACGCTTTCCCGAATTAGACCTTTTTCTAGGAGATCTTTTACTTGACGTGCAGTCTCAGCTGCCATTTGATGGGATTGACGGTATGGTCGCTGTGCGATTGGCTGTTGGTCTGTCAAAATGATTCGATGCTGTTCGATGTTAATGAGGCCTAAATCAGTAGAATCGGCGGCAAAAATATGTTTATACTCATTAACGAGTTGTTCAGCTTTTGTTGGTATTGTTCGAAATGATCGGTCATTTGATCGATCAGTTATAGCGTTTGTTATAAGATGACAGTGATGTCCGTTTGAAGTCCGTTGTGTGAAGTAATGTCTATCTTTAGACCATTTGTATGACACTGTCTTGTCATGGGTGTCGATGATAATACCAAAATGTCCGAGAGATTCAAGTGATAGAAGTAATGTATAAGCAAATCCATCGAGTACTTGCGATCGGATTGTTTTTGTCATTCGATTGATGGTAAGTCTGAATGAAACTTCACCGATGGTGCGGACCGATCCTCTCGCCAGATCGATCGATGTCCAATGTTTACGATTGATGTGAAGTTTAAGATGATTCGCTACATGTAATGGCATAATATTTACAGTAGATCCAGGGTCGGCAAATGCGGAGAGTTCGAATCGTCCTATTCGACCAGGAATTAAGATAATTTCTCGTGAATCAGATGCTGATGCCATAGTTTGATGACGGATAAAATGATTAGATGATGCTTGAGATGGTTGTGGAGCGATGGCTGATCCATTATCATTTTGAGGTGCTGTTGGTTTATAAGGGCAATCCTTATGGAAATGCCATGATGTTAGACCACGGTCTCGGCAGATCCTACATGAATAAGGCGGTCGATTTTTATTTGATCGGTCATTTCGATGGTTAGGGTTAGGCCTTTTTGACCGATCGTTGGACTTGTCCTGTGAAAAGTGAGAGCGAGGTTTGTTTTGATGGTACGATTGTTTTGTTTTATCGGCTTCGATGTCCTGAGCCATCTCTAACCAAGCATTAGTACTTTGAAATCTTCGGCCGTAAAAGTATTCTTTGTATTCGTGTTGTAGGCCTTCTGTGAGCAGATTAGCTCTTTGAGAGTCTGTATATCCAGTGACACGACGAAGAAGTTTCATTTTTTCGTCGTAATATGTCTTCATCGGTTCATTACGCTGTTGCCGTCGGCGGGTGGCTCCTACTTCTGGAGGTATATCGCAATGCGAGTACCGATCGGTCAATAGTTGCTTGACTTTATCCCACTTAATGCAGGGATCGATCAGTATGTCTGACCCGAAATAGTTCGCGGCGTCGTCGATGAGAAATTCCATAATGTGGTCGACTTTACGGTCATCAGTATATGTACGGTAAGCCCTTTCAAACATTTGGAGGAATGCTTCTACTTTAAGAGTTGAGTCCTGAGCACCACTGAATTTAGGAACTTTGAGAGTAATTTTAGTGGCCATGTGTTGGACGGTCGGATCGACGGATAGGTTTTGCATAGCCGTCGCCATTGTATTGTCGGTAGAAGTAGATGTGCTTTGAGTTGCAGGCGCTGCTGCGTTGCTCGTATTATCGTCAACCATGTTGTCTGTATTGATAATTTCTTGATTCGGTTCGATGGTATAGCGTGTTCCGTGTCTTGTGAATCCTGTAGCGTTAAGAGTAGTCATTCAGCGTAGATAGGGATCAATATTGTGATCTGTGCCGACTGCGCCAATTTGTTGCGGTTGTGTTGTCTTTAAGGGACTTCCCAACCACAGATAGTTTTGTTATGATTAGTTAGATCGGTCAATAGGACAGTAATTGTCAGTACACTGCGTGGGTCGGTATGAGACCAGTACTCGACACTCCAACTAATCAAAGTAACAGTTGTCTCGCGTGGGTCCGATTGAGACCAACAACTGATTGTAGTATCAACTGGTCGGCCAGTAATTGACTTAACAGTTGATGATAGGATTGCTTGAATGCCACGGTGTGTGTCACTCAAACAATAGACAGATCTGCAGTAGTGGTGACCCGAGTTAGGCCAGGGAGGAGATCCTAATATACTTGAATGACTTCTAGACTTCAGAGTTCAGTTGACCAGAGGAACAGTAGGTGAACTAGTGATGTGACGTTTCAATGACTTTACTCACAATTAATATTAATTCACTTTATTTAATAATAAGATAAAAATGTATGAATACAATGGTTGTTAACTGTAGGTATTATAAGCACATGTAGTTGAGTGTAATGGTATGAATTACTGTATAAAATGTCAGTACAGTTTGGCGGTTAGGTATACACTCTCTCTCTAGTAGTGTAGCAGTACATTGGGTTTTTATAGTGTGTGTGAGGTACAGGTATGTAATGGTATTAAATGGGTAGCTATTGGTTAGTTCAAATAAAAGACAGTTGGACGGTTAGATCGGTCTAATGGTGCCAATAGGATGACCTAAATGACCGATCATACCAGGAATAGGTGTAAATGGATAGTTGTCGGCAATAAAAGTACTTAAGTATAATATGGAATGCACTATAAAATAGGTATCAATTAAAAGGTATATAAAAATAGATATTCAAAATTATAGCTAAAAGTAATATAATAGATATCCTCAACAATTTAAAATATCCGATTAGTATATTATATAAAAATTTTATAAATTATATTTTTGTTGAATATCTATAAGAATAGTTGTATACATATATTGTTTATATAATGTTTTTTAACTAAAAATATTGTGATAATTAGTATTATTTTTGAATTGATAAACACACACACATACACACACACACACACACACACACACATACATACATACATACATACACACACACACACACACACACACAAACACACACATACATACATACATACACACACACACATACATACACACATACATACATACACACACACTACTAATTATTATATATTATTAATATAATTATTCAATGATTACATATTTAATTATTTTTTTTAAAATTAAATATATTTATCATCCGATTGTTAGGCACACTGATAGGCATTCGGCCATTCATTGAGTTTGTTTCGGCACCGTTTTGGTCATCACTGGCCGATCGCTATCACAAAAGCAAACTATTCCTAATATTTGCATTGATTTCGTGGATAGTATTCACCTATAGTCTGGCATTCATACGGCCGCCGGCGTCCGCTTGCGTTATATTCAACGAAACCCATCACATATTGTTTACCCCGTACTCCGACTACAATACCAATACACCGGTGCCCGACATAGCCGACAATAGCAATATTGATAATAAGTTATATAGACGACTCGTTAAAAGAGGTTAGTTATTATGTGTTTAGGTGTGTGTATGTGTGTGTATGTGTGTGTATGTGTGTGTATGTGTGTGTATGTGTGTGTATGTGTGTGTATGTGTGTGTATGTGTGTGTATGTGTGTGTATGTGTGTGTATGTGTGTGTATGTGTGTGTGTGTGTGTGTGTGTGTGTATGTGTGTGTATGTGTGTGTATGTGTGTGTATGTGTGTGTATGTGTGTGTGTGTGTGTGTGTGTGTGTGTGTGTGTGTGTGTGTGTGTGTGTGTGTGTGTGTATGTATATATATATATCATATTAMWAACAATTCAAAAAATTATACTAATTATCACAATATTTAATATTAATATATATAAAAACAGTTATTTTTCTATTATGTTAAAAATTAACCAATTTTTAAAAATAATTATAATTTATAAATAATATTTATCAACAAAAATAAAATTTTAGATATTATTTGATAAATATATAACATATTTATTATTTATTTTTTCTGATTTATTTTCAATTTATATGAAATTATTTATTTTTAGATAGTTTGACACTTTGAACGTGTTGTTGAAAATATATATTTTTTAATAATCAAAAATATTATTGATATTAAAAAAAAAAAATAGATACCAATGATGTCAACGTTGATGTTGTCGATGATGACGATGATGGCAAAGATGAGATGGAAAAAGAGTGGATCCGCAAATGGGGTGCYAAACACAAGCCCCCGCCCACCCATATAGTGGGCAAATCGCCCCTAACAGTGGAATATACCCTAAACTATAACCAAGAAAAACATGTATCCTATGTTTCGCCACCTTTTTCGACAATTGTCTACAAACTGGATGATGTCAAAGAGGTTTTCTTTCTGCTACTCCTATTGATATTGTTGGGCGAGTTTTTCAGCGCACCGGCCATAACGTTGGCCGACTCGGCCACCCTGGCATACCTGGGTAAGTGTGTGTGTGTGTGTGTGTGTATTGTTTGGGTTTTATTTGCTTATCTATGTTAATAATAACTGATACCCCCCCCCCGCCAAAAAAATGTTAATCAAAATCACTTAATTATCAGTTAATTTTAAATTAATTTTTTTAATTAAATGATAAAATTAATTAACTATTTTATTATTATTATTATTATTAGTTGTCTGTATTTATTAGATATACTGTATAATTAATTAATTAATTATTTTCTCAACAAATTAATTACTAATGATCTGATAATAATTTATTCATTAAATTAAAACTATTAACATTAATTATTAACATTATATTTATTAATGATTAATAATTGTCTATTATAAAAAAAATTATTTAAATATCTAATAAAATAATTATCACGTTTTTCAAATTTATTTGCTAATATGATATATACACACATATAATACATAGTTTTTAATTATTATTAAATTAATTTTTTTTGACAATTAGGCGACAACACCGACAGCTACGGCCAGCAGCGTATGTTCGGCTCGTTTGGTTGGGGTATAACCATGTTTTTTGTCGGTATGGCACTGGACAACTCTACCCGATTTACCGATCATCCGTGCGGTGCCCATATTGGCGAACGAAACTATGTAACTTGTTTTACAATATTTGCATTGTTGATGGCCCTGGCACTGGTAGCCAGCAGCCAATTTCGTTTTGATTACGACAATAACTACCAGTCCCAGTCGATCATAGCCGGTACCGATGAAATCCAGTTGAAAGCCTACGATTACGATAGTTCCGGCCCTAAGCCGTGGCTAAATCAGGCGCCGCCTATCAATAAGCCGCCGGAACTGTTGGCCAGAGACAAGAAGTTTGAGTTTATCGATAACTGGAAGGTATTTATTAAACAAAAAATAATTTTTTTTTTGAATCAGTTTTGTTCAGACAAACCAAAAAAAAATTTAGATATTAATACTTTATTAGTATTTTTTTTAGTAATTTATAACTAACCGGTAAAAAATTAATTTCAAAATAATTTTTTTATCGGCTATTGTATGGATAGTTTAAATCTAATTACAATCTACAAAAATAATTATTACACTATTTATATATATATATATTTTTGAGATTTAACAAATAATTATTTATTTATATATTATAATTTATGAATATATAAATATATATAAAAACTACTTAATTAGAATTAATAAAAAAAAAATAATAATAATAATTTTATAGAAATATATCCTAAATTTATATATATATATACACTATGTATTTCTAAGATTAAGAGATAGGTATTTATTTATACATTAAATATATTTTTATTTAAAAAATACAATTTAATTAGAATAATTTTTTTAACCTAGATCCTTATTTTTTTAAAAAAAATATAATAATAATCTCGGTATTTTATCAATGCAAATAAAAACAATGTACTTAAATATTATATATATATATATATACTGTAAATATATATACATTTATATATTAAATTAGAATGATTTTTGTTTAACCTAGATCCTTATTTAAAAAATAATAATAATCTCGGTACTTTATAAATACATCAAAAAACAATGTATTAATTAATTAATTTTTTAAAATTAATTATTATTTTTTTTGGTGGGGGGGGGGGGGTGTAGAGTGCAGTGTTTGCTCAGCGCACCCGACAAATGCCTCAATGGGTTAAAGTGTTGCGATCGTTGGCAAACATGAGACAAATAGCCTTTTTGTTTGTCACTTGGTTTATGGGTTTCGGTATTGGACTGGTGTTTACGTTTCTATTCTGGCACCTACAGGATTTGGGCGGTACGCCCACCCTATTCGGTATGGCATCGGTTATCAATCATATATCGGAGATCTGTGCCTATTTCTATAGCTATTCATTGATAACAACCTACGGTCACACTAAGGTATGGCTTATATATGTGTATGGCTTTAATATTATATATATATATATATATATATATATATATATATATATATATATATATATATATATATATATTATATTAATAATTAGATTTAAATTTTTATTAGTAATTATTATTATTATTTAAACATAATTATTAACTAAAATTATTTGTATATATATACTGTATAAAAATTATTTTTTATATATTAATAATTGAATTTTAATTATTATTATTATTTAAATTTTTAATTATTAACTAAAAATATGTGTATATATATATAAATTATTATTTTAATATTAATAATTAAGTTTAAATTTTTATTAATTATTTTCATTATTATTTAAATTTTTTATTATTAACTAAAATTATTTGTATGCATATATACTTGTATTATAATTAACTGTGAATTTAAAAGATAAATCAATTAAATTTATTATTTTAAATAATATTTTATTTATTTATTTTTTTAAATTAAAATATTTGTCTAAATAATGTTTTATTTTTTAAGTGTAAAAAAATTATATATTAATATTTTTTCTGTATATATGTATTAAATAGATTAATAATTATAAAATTAAATATCATCATATAGTACTGTAATAATTTATATATATATTGATATTATTATTATTATTTATTTTTTGATATACAGGTGCTATGCATTGGCTTAATCGGAAATGTTGTCCGATTTTTGTACATATCATGGCTGGATAACCCGTTTTGGGTGTTACCATTTGAATTGATTCAAGGTATAATTTATTTTTTATTTATTTTGTATAGTTTTTTTTATTATAAAAATAACATTTAAATTATTATTTATTTATTTATTTATTAAACAGGTGTAACTCACGCAACTGTATGGGCGGCTGCTTGCAGTTATGTGACCCAACATACCGATCCTGAACTAAGATCATCGACACAGGGAGTACTACAGGGCCTACACCATGGATTGGGTCGCGGATGCGGTTCAATAATAGGCGGCATATTTGTTAATCGCTGGGGTTTGTTATAATTGTTATCAAAAATATATATCTAAAATTATTTAACAATAAATATAAATATATATAATATTAATTTATATAAAATTATTTTTATTTAGGATTAATTGATTTCAATTATCATTAAATATTTGATAGTACTTTAAGTTTAAGTTATATACATATTTAGTGTACTTAAAAAAATTTACAAAAAAAATTAAAATAGTAGTTAATAGTAGTTTAAAATTTAATTATACAATTAAAAAATAGTATTAATAATAATAATCACAATTTGTCACTAAAAAAATAAAAATAATAATTAATTAATTATAGCTAACTTTTTATATATATACACTAAAAAATACCAAATTATTAATTTTCATAAATTATATTTTTATATTACAAATTGATTTTATTATTATCATTATTATTGTAATTATTTAAAAATAATATCACTTATAATTATAGATTCAAACTATCGCTAACTAATCATTAAATTAATTTTGAATTATAAATCGATTTATGTATTTCCTAATTATCTTATATACTAATTTAATTTTTTTAAAATACTTGTATCGAACCACCCCCCTAACCTCCCACCCCACCCCCTATATATATATAGGTACCCGGGTTACATTTCGACTATACGGTGTCAGCAGTATCATAGTGTTGGCCGGTTTCATACATTTTAACTATTATAAGCCCACTGAGGGCTACAATTTCTACGAGGATAATGACAACGATAATGTCATAATAGATACATCGGGTGCATTGGCACCGCACGGTGTGCCCACTAATCCAATAGGACGGTCACATTCACGACAAAACATACAACAACAACAACAAAGTCCCGGAACCAAGAATCCCGTTGACAATAACAACGCGATGATTGTAAATAACAATCCCTTTCAATTAGGCGGCGACTCCTATTTGGATCCCAATAATGTTTGGGCTACTAATCAGCAGGGTACTGATATTAAACTTAACTAGCTAACTTTTATGAATAGTTGATTATTTATTTATTTATTATTTTTTGTTTGTCGGTTAATTAATTTAGTAATAATGTAGTTGTTATTGTTGTTGTTAAATATATTATCAAACAAATATTATTGTTTGATATAATGTGTTGTGAAAACTTATATGAAAATATATATATATAGTTTTAAACAAACAAAAAATATTGATATATAAATAAACAATTTAGTGATCAATAATTTAGTATTATATATATATATATATTTTTATTTAAATTAAAATTTTGTAGATTATGATTTTAAATAGCATTGCTAGTTATATTTTTGGGAACAAATTTTTTTTTAAATTTATTTTTAATTATAAAATTATAATTCAGCATAATAAGTGTTTATAAATATTTTTAAAAAATAAATTATTTATAGATATTAAACAATTAGTTTTTTTTTAAAAAAAGCAATATTTAATATATCAATAGTTTAAATACTCAACAATTATATGTATTGATTATAAATTTTTTTTGCTCAACTCCTATTAATTTTTTAGTTTTTTAAAAACTAATTTTTAATATTAATTTATTATAAGAGAAATATTTTTTTTATTAGTTTTTAATTGAAAAATAAAATTATTTGTATAATTAGTAAACAACAAAAAACATGATAATGATAAATTAATAATATATGATTAATTAACGATATTTCACCAAACACACAATTTTATCATTTTTTTTAAAAATATTAATATATGATTATATTTTCATTTAATATATTAAAATAATAATTATTAATTCATAACTTATTATATATAATAGCCTTAACAAAAAAAATGTGTGAGAGATATTAACTGTCTTAAATTTCTAAAAAATAACAATTAATTATAAATTTATTGAAAAAAATAATAATTTATTAATTAATTAATTTTATGGCCAATTGAACTATAGATTAATTTATATATTTATAAATATATAGATTAATTTATTAACTGAAAAAAAAATTATTAAATGGTTGTGATTGTTAAAACTCAAGTAACAAACTAACAAATTAAATAAAAAACAAAAAACAATTTTTACCAATATGTTTAATAAAAATACAAATATTTATTTATTATATACTAACAGTTAAAGTTATTAATTTTTATGATAAATATATGTAATATTTATTGTTTTTTATTTTAATTATCATATAATACTACTTACAGTATATACTACATAATGATTGTAATTGATATATAAATATACACTTTGAAAAAAACATTTTAAAAATAAGCTTAAAATATATATGCAACATAAAAATTAATTTAATTCATTAATTAAAAAAAACTATAATATTATTTGTTGTATTGCATTATATATTAATTAACATATTATTATTATTATTTTATTGACAATTATTATACGGTATATAAAATACAATTTATTATTATTATCACACAAACACACACACATAAACCTAACCTAAACCATATCATTCAAACATTTCAAACTTATCAATTGCATCAATGTTTAAATTAATTCAAAAAAAATATATATCAAATTTAAACATATAATGTCAAACCAGAATATAATACATATCAAAAAAAATTATATATCAATGATGTTATCATATCATATCAATTGATAAACAAAAATTCCTAACTATATATCAATTAATTATATAAACTATATATACATCCCATATATATATATATATAAATAAATATTAATTAAGTACATAGACTCAACTATTTATAATTATAAGTTATAATTTATAATAATGTATCACATATACTGTATACACACATTAACAATAATAGTTATTAATTTTTAAAAACAATAAAATTGTAGAAATTTCAYTCATTGTAATATCAATAATACATATATATATATATATATATATATATATATAGATAATTAAAATTAAATGTAGTGTATCATAAYAAATGTCATATATATATATATATATATATATATATATATATATATATATATATACAGTATATATATATATATTAATATATACAGTATATAACCTTATATCATATATTATATTACAAATCTGCTAAATTGTTGATGGGGTAATTAATTATATTAAAAATGTAAAAAAACATTATTAGTTATTATTTATTATTATTATTAGTTGTAATTTTTTATTTATTTATTTATGTTAATAAAAAATAATAAAATACAAAAAATTCTAGTCATTATAATTAATTAATTAAAAAATAATTTTCTTTTATTAATATACGTAAAGTATAAACTATATATATAGTTAAACAATTTAACTTATTATTATAATTAAAAATAATTTACAATTATATATCAAAAGTTAATGTCTGAATATATAATTATTATAAATTTTTAATTTTTTTAAAAATAATTATTTAAAAAATACAGTATTTAAGTATATTATCTAGCTTGAATATATAATAATAATTATTATTACTATTATTATTATTATTATTTTGAGTGACTGTATAATTTTTATAYAATTTASCARTGCTATTAAATTTATGCATGATAACTTTACTTAATAATCGTAATAATTATTATTATTATCTAAAAAAAAATCATAATATATTCACAAAAAAMATTTTTAGTATATCTATTGTATATTTAAATAAATATATATGTTGTTATAAATCAATCAATAAGTAATAATATACAGTAAATAAAAAAATTTTTTTTWAAAAAAAAATGTGATTATAATCAGCAATAAAATTTAAAAAAAAATAAAAAATAAAATCTACACTGAATAAACAAAAACAATGATATATTAATTATTATTATTATTATTATTATTATTAGATTATTTTTTTGTATGATTTWAATACACAGAAAAATTTATTTTAAAAAAATTAAATAAAAAGTTTATTAAAGAATTAAATATATTATTATTATTATTATTAGATATTTTTTTGTATGATTTAAATACACAGAAAAATTTTTTTAAAAAAATTAAATAAAAAGTTTATTAAAGCATTAAATAAATTATTAGTATTATTATTATAACTATTAAATAATGTCTTAATAAAACTTTTTAATGTATTAGTATTATTGCCAACAAAACAGTGTCAATGTATTAATAAAAAGTGTATTATTAATGTATTTAAAAAAAAAACAGTACAGTATTTATGTATATATATATACAGTACAAACCAGTGTAAATGTACTGTAAATTTAATACCCATTATATTTACTGTATTACAGTATTAAATAGTATACTCTCTATTTATAATRGCTTATACTGTATATCTATATAGTAGTGTTGTTATAATGTGTTTTATATTTTGCCGGATTTACTATTTTTTTTTTTAAAMAAATGTCTATATAAAAACTAATTATATTTTATTAAAAAAAATTTAAAAAAAAATTATTATAGAAAAAATTATCAAGTACATTTATATTTATCTAAATATTTTTAAAGTAGCAAGTTAATTTCTATTTTTTAAATAAAGTTAAAAAAATATAGTCCGGCACCTATAGTGGGCTATAATAGGTGGCTATACTAGTAGTTACTACAGTATACTATACAGTATATTGTTTTGTGTACTGTATTTACTACAGTATATATATGTATATAAAAAAATATCTCAGTATAAGCAAAACCAAAACAATAATTTCTTAACTAAATAGTCTATTAAAAGTCTGTCTGTCCCAAATATTTCCAGGTCCGCTTTTTTTTTGTTTTTTTTTTTTTTTTAATTAAGGAGTTCGTATGGAAATGCTTAAAGCATTCTCAACTGTTTAATCAAATTTAAATTGCTAATCATATTTATTGCTTACAGTTTAATAGCAATAAATATATGGATAAAACGTAAATTTAAGAGTAGTGTCAACAACAAYAAAAACAAACAAAAAGTTAAATAAWAGGTATCATTGTTTTGGTTTTGTTTATAATSATACTAATAGTATTAGTACTGTATTATTGAATGTATAGCCAATAGTTTATGATATTATTATTATTATTATTATTCTACACAACAATGATTGTCATAATGAGTACTAATAATAATAATAATAATAATAATAATATAAACAATGATTACTTAATGACAACAACAACAACAAACACATTGTATATGAATTGAAGCGATAATTGTTTTATATATTAATGTATTGATTGTTATGTAATAATAATAATAATACTGTAATAATGTTTTGACACAACAATTATATATATATATATATACAGTATATATCATATATACATACAGTGTATACATATATATATATATCATATACTAAACAATTATATGTTGTTTTAGTTAATAGTTTTTTTTGTATTTTATTTATTTTTTTTGTGATATTTTTGATTATTATTGAATCAAACAAACAATTATTTGACTAAACATTTGTTGTTTGGTTTAGTTGTTGTGTTTGTGTTTGGATATGAAAGTCATTTATGAATATCTAAGACAACGTCGACAACACCCGACAACAACGTCCGGCAGCGGCGGCGGCGGCAACAGTGGCGGCCAATCGTATGAACAGATGGACGGACAACAACAGCAGACAATGGTGTCCAACAACAACAACAATACTTCGGGAGGATCGCCGACCAGTACGACGACGACGACTACGGCCATCATCGGTGCCGACTCGTTGCACATCAACAAAGAGCTCGGCGTCGGCGAGTTTGGTGTCGTCCAACAGGGTATGTATTGACACCATCGCCTATATTGGCCGGTGACCAMCCGATTSATTGATTGTCTGCTAACTCTCTCTATCGGTCTCTCTCTCTCTCTCTCTCTCTCTCTCTCTCTCTCTCTCTCTCTCTCTCTCTCTCTCTCTCTCTCTCTCTCTCTCTCTCTCTCTCTCTCTCTCTKTCGGTCTCTCTCTATCTATCTATCGGTCTCTCTCTCTCTCTCTCTTTCTATCTCTCTTTCTATCTCTCTATCGGTCTCTCTCTCTATCTATCTGTCTCTCTCTCTCTGTCTCTCTCTCTCTCTGTCTGTCTCTCTATCGGTCTCTCTGTCTCTCTGTCTCTCTGTCTCTCTCTCTATATATATATATATATATATCTGTCTCTCTCTCTCTCTATCTATCTATCGGTCTCTCTCTCTCTCTCTCTCTCTTTCTGTCTCTAATTCTATCTCTCTTTCTATCTATCTTTCTATCGGTCTCTCTCTCTCTCTCTCTCTCTCTCTCTCTCTCTCTCTCTCTCTCTCTCTCTCTCTCTCTATCTCTTTCTATCTCTCTTTCTATCTCTCTATCGGTCTCTCTCTCTCTTTCTATCTCTCTTTCTATCTCTCTGTCTCTCTAACGGTCTCTCTCTATCTATTTATCTATCTATCGGTCTCTCTCTCTCTCTCTCTCTCTCTCTCTCTCTCTCTCTCTCTCTCTCTCTCTCACACACACAGGTGTCTGGTGTTCGCCGGAAGGCAAGCGAATACAAGTGGCCATCAAATGTCTGTCGAGTCAACGATTCGATACATCCCGACTGGAATTTCTGAAAGAGGCCCGAATTATGCATAACATATCGCACGAACACATTGTCCGTCTGTACGGTGTCGTACTSGARCCGTCCTGATGTTGGTCACCGAATTGGCACCGCTGCGATCGCTGCTCGAATGYCTGAAAGAACCGGCACTCGTWTGCCAGTTCCCAGTGATATCGTTGTGTAATTTTGCCGCACAAATTGCCGACGGTATGTCCTATCTGGAACATCAGCGCCTAATTCATCGGGATTTGGCCGCCCGTAACATATTGGTGTTCGCCAAAAATAAGGTACCCCCAAACATATTTTGTTTGTTKGTTTGTTTGTTGGGGGGGGGCGGTCSAGGGGTGGGGGGGGTTAGCTATCAATCAGTGTGTGTTTGATTTTAATTTTAACCCACAAATAATGGGTTAAAATTTTTTTTTTTATTTCAATTATAAAATCAATGACAACAGTCATCGAGACATTGSCATCGATTGGCATACGTTTAGSTGTCCTGAYGTCTGACCATTAGTTCAATTGAATTGTTGTGTTGTGTTGTTGTCTTTAAACTATACCATTGAGTTTGTCGTCAAAAATTTGTTTGTTTTGATATCAATATTAATTAATTTGTTGACTAATAGTAAAAAAAAAAATCAATTTTAAAAAAATTATTTCATTAAGTAATATATAATTTAGAAATACATGAAATAATAAATAATAATTATTATTATTTTTAATTTAATTTTTTTGTTGTTATAAAAATCATTACTAAAATCATTACTTATACATATTAAGCGGGTATTCGGGTATTATATTATCAATTGTTGTCCTAATAAATAAATCAGTCCCTAATAAATAAATCCCGGTTCCCCAAAGTGTATATTAATTTAACGGTTAACTAAACTAATTGTTTGTTTTTTTTAAGGTAAAAATATCCGATTTTGGTCTCTCCCGTGCACTGGGTGTCGGCAAAGACTATTATCAAACCAATTTCAATGTCAATTTGAAACTACCGATCGCTTGGTGCGCACCCGAATGTATCAATTATCTGAAATTTACATCAATGTCCGATTGTTGGGCCTACGGTGTATGTCTGTGGGAAATGTTTTCCTACGGTTTCCAGCCATGGGCTGCCCTAACTGGGCAACAAATACTGGAAGCCATTGACGAACCCAGCTATCAGCGCCTCGAACAGCCCGAGTGTTGTCCCCGGGAGTACTACCAACTGATGATCAGGTGTTGGCAACACGAACCAACCGCTAGGCCTCGGTTTGCCGAAATTGTATCGATTCTACCCGATTGTCGACCCGAATTGGTTCAGGCGGTCAAGATTTGTGAGGGTAGTGCCGGCGGCGGCGGCGGATCTACCGCTACTGCTGTCGGCGACTATAGTACTACCGGTACTACTAGTAGTAGTAATACAACAAACGTATCGCCGAAAGAGCTATTAGACTATAAAATCGGTGATATTATTACGGTTTTAGATAAAACTATTGCTACTAATAGTAATAATAATAATAATAATAATACGTCGACAACAACAATGTTGTCTACAAATAATTATTTTCAAACAACCAATAGTTTAAATAATAATAATAATAATAATAACAATAATGATAGCACCGGTACTCTATGGAAAGGTATTATAAATTTTTTTTTTTAAATGAGATTTACCGTAAAAATAAACTTTTTGTTTGTTTGTTTGTATACTACAGGCGCCCTAAACAACGGTAAAACCGGTTATTTTAATCCAAGCGATTGTGTATCGTATTTGGGCCAAAATTTACCGACAACTTGTTCGTCGCAAAGTTTACCGTCGGCGGCGGCGCCGTCATCGTCGACCAGTTCATCGTCAAACAACGGAGGCGGAGTCGGCTCACTGGCCAGTACGGCGGCCGTCGTATCGTTGGCCTCGCAAGTGATGCATTCGAAATTTATTCGCGGATTTCTGGACTCTACGTCCTCCTCATCCCGTTCTACAGGCGGTACCGCCAGTGGTAGTCAACTAATCAACAGTAGTAGTAGCGGTATGGGTGGCCAGAGTTCAAATACGATGTCAATGTCGTCGTCGTCGCCGTACAGTTCAAGGCGTCGATTGCGCACTGATATGATATCCCGACCTCAGGGCGATCTCGTACACACTGGTCATGTGGGAGCCGACGGCGCATTTTTCGGCGATGTCGGCTTTCTGGACGGAAAGTACAATCAGGTACCCAAACAGATTGTCGCACCGTATAGGCCATCGCTGGATGGCGGCGGCGGCGGCGGCGATCATCATCATCACCACCACAACAGCAATAACAACAACACCAAAGGTACGGTCGACACCAATGCTAACTGTGCAGCGATGTCGTCGTTGTCGTCGCGCACTAAATGGTCGTCCAATGAGAAGAAATTAAACCTAAAAAATACATCAAATTCTGGCGACAGTAGTCACGAGTATCACGAAATTAGCGACGAAGACGAGTTCGGAGCCCTTGAAAGTCCGCCATTTGAGGTCAGTGTTTGGGTTGTTGTATAGGTATAGGTATAGGGAAAGGGATCAACAGTTTTTAATAGTTTTATATTTTTGTCAAAAAACAATATTTTTGTTTTCATCACTGATATCTCTTTACAGATACTTGATTTTGGTCCGTCACTTGTGGAGGAAGTATTTCGCGAATTGGATTCAATAAAACCCGAACTGAGCAACGAAATTGCCGATTCGGAGCTGGCCATCAACGAAAGTTCGGTAAACGTCAAGAACGAGGTCAGGGAAATCAATTTGAGAATTAACAAAGAGGCGGCCCAGCACTCGGGAACCACTAAAGGCAAGAAGCAGGCAATGGTCAAACCGATATCGGCCAGCGATCAGATGGAATTGGATTCGGCAATAGCTATGGCCAAAGATATTGCCACCCGATCTATGCTAACATTAGACAGTTAGTTGTTTTTTTTTTGACCATAACTTATATTATTATTATTATTATTCATTATTTGTATTCATTATTATTGCAGACGAGATGATCGATAAGACAACTACACCGACGTCGGCGGCGGCGATATCGACCAGCGATTCGCCGAAAACACCGAATTCGCCGAACAAGAAAAAGTTTTCGTTTAAATTTTCGACAAAATCGTCGCCAAAACAAGAGCGGCGAACATTCAGCGATGAAACGGAATCGATTGGCAATATTATCGAAAGTATAACACCGGCGGCCAAAGAGGCGTACATATCGCTGGTCGATAAGGGATCGGCTATTGTTGTGCCGCCGCCGCCGCCAGATCATGGAGACAACAGTTCTGCTGCTAAGACCAACAACAACAATGACAACAATAACTACATGAATGGCTTCAATGGCGGCGTCGACAGTATTGATGGCAATCCGCTGCGAATGTTACGATCGGCCGGCATTGGCGGTGTTCTCCGATCGAAAGTTCGGGGCAATCGTTCTTTTTCTAATCCACGACTGCCGACCACTGCCCAGACAGCCGGTCTGGCGCGGGTAGCGTCAGCCCGATCGGCGTTAGGTAATTTGCCGAAAAACTGATATCTATTATAGAAAATATTTATTATTATTTTACCTGTAATTGACTGACTGACTAACTGACTGGCCATTACTGACTACAGGTGTACCGCCACCCGTTCCCATAGCCGGCGGCGGCGCCGGCGGAATGATGACCGTTGATGATAGTATTAACAATGAGCTTCCATTACCGCCGAGAGATCGGTCCCGACCAATGTTGATGCCATTGAAGACACATCAACGCCGCTATCCATTGGTTATGCCGACGACGACAACAACAACTGGAGCAACAAATGGCGACTCTATTTACAGCAACGACGACAAAGATATGTCACAACAACAGCAACAACAACAACACACTTATCATTATTATCAACAACAACCACAACAACAACATCATCATCAGCGAGATTCGTCACCACTAAGAACTGGTCCCGTATTGAAACAGGTATCGTGTCCTCAGCCGCCGCAAACATTTCTGGACACTTACGCTACGTTTAAGCTCAACAACGATCTGAATAATATTGGCGGCAGCGGTGGTAGTGGTGGTGGACTCAATAGCGGCTCAAAGTTGGCTCCCATTCCTCCGCCTAAACCGCAGCGAACTTTTCTGTAAGTATTTTGTGTGTGTTTTTTGGGATCAATTATCTGATCAATTGTTTTGTTGTTATTGTTGTATTGATATCAGTTGTGAGAGCGAGTCATTCGAGAGTGAAATGCAGAGAGCATTGGACAACATCCGCATTAGTACGATGTCTTCATCACAGGACGTATCGGACGATACCAACCAAACCAATGAATATATGACTCCAAAGACAATAACAACACTTATCAACAAAAATAATAATAACAATAACTGTGATTCAGTGGTGGCCAACACTACTACTACTACTACTACATCCACTGCCGCCACCATCATATCATCTCGAATGAAATCTCACGATACAGTGGTGTCTTCCTCCTCCTCCTCCTCAGTCACTGACCGACTACTATACAGCAGTGGCAGCTCAACAACAACAACAAGGATTCCTATAGTAGAGACCTATCGTGTGATTTGTTCAACTAGTGATACATCAGCCGCAACTACAGCATCGACAACAGCACTGGCATCATCTCTGGATAGACCATCAGTTATCTCAAGAAGCAGTGGTGGTGGTAGTGGTGGTGGTCTCAGTCTCGAGTCGTCGTTTCAAAGCAAACCCAAGGGTGTCGACAGCGATGAGGTGCGAGTCATGCAAAAGGTTTTGGCTAATGAGGTAATAATTTGTTTGTTTGTTTTAATTAGATTTCTGTTAATAATTTGTAATTAAAATAATTTTAATTTATTTTTTTAGACTAACCTTTCAAGCGAAGAATGCGCCCAAATATTGCATTCAACCCAATGGGACGTTCATAAGGCCATCAAATGCATTGTATGACAAAAAAAAATTTTATTATTATTTTTGTCTTAATTTTATTAATTTTTTTTTTTTAAATAATTGTTTGTTTGTTGTTGTTGTTGTTGTTTAGCGATTGCGACAACAGTTACGTAGTCACGGTATTACCGGCGACTGGGACTGGGCCCAGATGTTGGCCAAATTCAATTGGAATATCCGACAGGCGTCCAACTATTTGATAGCTACTCAAGGGGTGGCCAGCGATGCTACCGAAGTTTAACAACACACATATAGACAATACAATATATATATGTTTTTTTTACCCGACAAATATGGCAATCATATCGTACTAATGGCTTGATTTTGATAATTTAGTTTTATGTGTGTGTGTGTGTGTGTGTTTGTGATTGTGTGTGTGTGTGTGTGTGTGTTAGCACATTGTGTGTTAACATTATTTTTGTTTATTTGATAATTTTTTAGTTTTAATGATAATCATAAATATAATGTACCAAATAAGTATTTTATAGTATTTTTTTTAAAATTTGTTTATATTAGACTAATGATTGCATAAATTTTTTTTTTTTTTAATAATAATAATGTGATGATTATATGCATGTGTGTGTGTGTGTGTGTGTGTGTGTGTGTGTGTGTGTTTGGTTGCAATTTACAGTATATATATATATACAGTTTAGTATATAATAATCAAAAATATCAATAATAATTGCCTTTATTTTTAACAAAAAAAAAATGATTAATTTCTCAACAAAATAATCGATCAATTAATATAAACAAAAACAAAACAATTTTTTTTAAAACTATATACTAATCTATTTATAAGCTATTTATTTATAATTAATAATAATATTGTATACAAACAATTTTTTTTAAAAGAAAAAATAATTTTTTTTAATTATAAATATTTAGTGTATTAGTGTGTCTTTTTTAATGACAATTTTTTTTATTAATTACCACAAATGCTAGTCCACAATTTTTTTTATTATATAAAAAATATTTATATATATATTTAATTATTATTATTATTAACTAATGCATTTATAATTAAGCAATAACAATTTTTTTGTAATAATAATAATAATAATAACAATAAAATTATGATTATAATAAAATTAATATCATATTATATGTCTTTTATTATAGTAATTGATTTTTGTGTGTGTTTTGCATTTAAAGCCAAATTAACAAAAAATTATTAACAAAAAATAAATCTTTATATTAAACAATTAAATATATAATTACTAATTACTAGTATTAAAAAATAAATGTTTTTTTTAAAAATTATGAAAATTCTAAAAAATATGAATTTATTTAAATTATTTATTTTAATAATTGATTTTTTTGTGTTACATTTAAATCGAAAAAAAATATATTTATAATTATAAAATGTATTTAATTTATTAAAAAAAAAATAATAAATAATAATAAAATTAAATTTTTAAATATATATTATGAAAATTTTTTTAAATAAAAATGGAATTTATTTTTGACAACAACACCAACAAAAAACATATTTATTTTTTTAATAATTTTAATGATTTTTTTTCCAAAAATTTTTGTTTTTTTTGCAGATTATTCTAGTACTCATTATTCTAGTACTATATATATAATATATTAATATAATAAATATTAAATGACATGGATAATAATTAATATAAAATTTTTAATTAATTAATTTTTTTTAAAAAAAAATTTATGGTTCAGTTAGTTCTTTTTTTAAATAGGATTGCAATTTTTTGAATTTTATATCACTAAACATTGATGATTTTATTTTAGGATATACTGGATATAAATTCAAATAATCAATAGCCCAGAGATCCTCCCGATATGTAAACGGAATCATATCACGGGAATAGAGTTTTCGTGATTCGGTCGATAATTCGGGCGAACATTGTGTGTATGGAATCTGCGGTTTGTTGGCAATGATCTGGGTTTGCGGTCCCGTTTGCGGACACATTATTGTCGATGAATCGTCTCTAACGCTTTTTTTGTGGTAGTATTATAAATAATTTATTAATTATTAATAATAATAATTATAATAAAATAATTATAATAATAATGTTTTTAGATATTATTAAATAATATAACAAATTTTTAATAAGTATTATCATTATCAAGTATTAACTATTATTAATAATACTTATTAAAAATTTGTTATATTATTTAATTATATATCTAAAAACATTATTTTAATTTTAATCAAAAATATTTTTACATATTCTCCTACAATAATCCTATTTTGAATATTCTTATATAAACTATATATATTTATATTATATATATCCTAAAATTATATATATATATAAAAACACACAATAAAATCACTAAAATAAAAACCTTTTATCAATACTACTCATATAATTGATTTCGATGACCGGTATCTTTAGTTTGAATCCTCTATTGAATCTGCCGTTACCATTAGCCCAGTGCCCGTTATACCGGCGCCATTCAACACTTATTGAATGTATTTTCGTAATCCTGAACGAAGTGGTCAACAGGAATGTGTGGACCCTATTCTGTACGGTTGATGTCATAATACGGTGTACTTTCAGTGCCTGTATATAATCGCCGCCGCCATCGGCATTGGTTATCGTCGAGTTGATCCTGAATACCAATACACCTATCAATATATATATATATATATATAGAAATAATTTGTATTTTTTTTTAAAAAATAATAAAATAATAAGAATTGTTGTTTTAATACAGTGTTTTAATTAGTTTCTATACTATACACAGTATATATATAGTATTACCGTATATATATATAATTTATATATATAATTTTTATATATATATATACTGTATATATACACACTGTATAAATATATAAAGTATATATATATATATATATATATATACTTTATATATTTATACAGTGTGTATATATTTTATTTATATAAAGTATATATATAAATATAAAAACTATATATATAAATTTTTAAATATATATATAATAATAATATACTGTAGATAAAATAGTATTGTAATGTTTTAATAATATTGATATTTTATAGATTATTCTACTATGTATTTTAATTTTTTTTTTAAAAATATATATTTGATTATAATAATAATAATTATAATTACTATTATTATTACATACCAGTTGAAGAATCAGAGTCTTTGGATATATGTATACCAAATTGATAATGATACACTAAAATAATAATAATAATAATAATAATAATAATAATAATAATAATAATAATAATAATAATAATAAGAATAATAATAAAGATTAATAATAATTAAATATTAAAATATTTAATAATACTGTAATAAATCATGAAAATAGTAAAAAATATTTTTTTAATTATACATATTAAAAATTTCAATAAATAAATAAAATAAAGTTTTTTATCTATAATTTGTTACTTTCTTAGTATTAGGGGAGGGGGACGGGGGTTAAATTGTCAATAATAATATAGACATTATAGACAATAGATTTGTTAAAAATTTATAGATAATATTTTTTATTTGTTTATTTTTTTTTCAAAATAAAAACATGAAAAATTATCTAGTTAAAAAAAAGTTTTTTTAAAAAAAATATAAATTAAAAAAAAATTGATTACTGCAATATTCAACGTCTATGCCATCGATTTTGGCAGCAGTTGTCACAAAATACAATTTGCCAATAGTTTGTTCATCGATAATGCTATTTGTTAGCCAATAGTCCATATTAAGGCCCATTGGCTGACATTTATTATCATCACAACTGGCGCACCGGCCCTCTATAAATGTTTCAAAATTTTCGCACTGATAGGCAACAGCACTGCACATATCGTCCGGTTTGTCTAATATATTGATGGTATATATATATATATATAGAAAAAAATTAATTTAAAAAAATTGTATTAATGTATTAATGTATTAATTAAAATTTAAAAAAACAATATGTCTAAAATATATATATTTTTTCTAAAAAAAAATATCATACATACATAGAGTATAACTTTATTTAGTGCATAATTTTTAAAAACAGTGTTTTGTTTTCATATATATTGTTTTGCATATATATATATATTATATATAATAATTATTATTATTTGGTAAATATTTAAGGAATAATAGTGGGGTTCTGATCACTGAATTTATGGAAATATATATATATATATATATATATATATATATAATACACTGTATATTCTATGTATATATATATATACACACTATATATTCTATGTATATATATACACTGTATATTCTATGTATGTATATATATACACTGTATATTCTATGTATATATATATATATATACACTATATATTCTATGTATATATATACTGTATATTCTATGTATATATATATACACACACGCTGTATATTCTATAATATAGAATCTATATATATACACACACAATATTCTGTGTATACACACAAACTGTATATTCTATATATATATATATATATGTTGTATATTCTATGTATATATATATATATATATATATATATATATATATATATATATATATATATATATATATATATATATATATATATATATATAGACAAACCTATGTTATTAAGCAGATTGTATGCAAATGAATGCGAACACGTAATATCGTTTCCTTCTGTAATTGTACTCAACTTTTTAATCAAACCGAAAGACGGGGCACAACCCGGTTGTAAATTGCCTTTAAATATATATATATATAAATTATACAAACATTTTAGTAACATTAGTAACATTGGAAATATAAATATATAGTGAGAATTTAGTGGGAATTTAGTGGGAATTTAGTGGGAATTTAGTGGGAATTTAGTGGGAATTTAGTGGGAATTTAGTGGGAATTTAGTGGGAATTTAGTGGGAATTTAGTGGTAATTTAGTGGGAATTTAGTGGGAATTTAGTGGGAATTTAGTGGGAATTTAGTGGGAATTTAGTGGGAATTTACATGGGAATATTCGGGAATATTAGGGAATATTTTTTTGACCCCCTTGATTTTGAATTTCTTCAAAAAATTGCCGTTGAAAAAATGCAATAAAAAACTTACAACACCCTATACACCCACCAACCGCTCCCTCCCCCAAGATATTTCGAGAATTTTGTAAATTTCACCTCAGTCTACCCCCACCCCCCCCCCCCACTAAATTGCTTAACCCTGATATATAAATGATATATATTTAAAAAAATACCTCCATTTGGATAGAAATCGTAATGTCCTAACGTTTCATTAGTACCAAAACCATCGGTAAACGATATGGACCCATCGGTATGTATAACATCGACTAACTGAGCGTCACTGTTATGCAAACGTAAGGCACCGTTTTTAAAATGAAAACCAACACCTTTATATATATAAATATTATATAATTAAGATTAATTCATTATATATTTTTATATATTTAAATTATAGTATTAAAGTATATTTTGAAATTAACTAATAATAATATTGAATATAATTCTGTATATAATTCTGTAAATAATTTTGTATATAAATCTGTATATAATTCTGTATATAATTTTGTATATAATTCTGTATATAATTCTGTATATAATTATGTATATAATTCTGTATATAATTATGTAAATAATTCTATATATAATTCTGTATATAATTCTGTATATATATACATATAATTATATACAGAATTATATAAATATATATATATATATATATATATATATATATATATATATATGCTGTTTTATTCAATGGGTAAGATTTTAATTAAGATTGTATTAACTTATTTTTTTTAATTATTTTATTTAACTATATAAATATTTTATTTATTTTTCCACACACACACACACACACACAGTATCCATAACTACTGTATATATATTATTGGATTTACAAATTAACTAGGCTATTTATATATATATATATATATATATATAATTTATATACCATACCTGCCGGATCCAATCCCGTAATGCGATAGACTTTGGGATCGTGTATTTTTTTGCCGGCATAGCCCATGGTATGGGCGCCCAAACTGTGCCCAATTAGCCAAAATCTATCGTTAGTGACGTTAAATGTTTCCCGTAATCTTCCGACAAAATGTGCTATACAAGCGCCTACTAGTCGGGTGTTTGTTGCAGCCAGGTTATATGCTGTTTTTGCACCTAGATAGATTAGATAGATAGATAAATAGATAGATAAATAGATAGATAAATAGATAGATAAATAGATAGATAAATAGATAGATAAATAGATAGATAAATAGAATAGTTATTTTTGTTTTAAACAATAATTATAACAACAATATTAATAAATAATTTTATTGTTAAAAAAAACAAACAAACCTTTTTCCCAAATAACAACAACAACATTAAATGTATCATTGCTTTTGAAAAATATAAAATCTTTCATAAACTATATAAAAAACATAAAATTAATTAAATAATTATTTTATTATAAGTAATTTTTTAGTTTTTGGTTAAAAAAATTAATTAAATATATATATATTAACAGTGAGTAAATTAAAACATAGTAAATACTATGTTATAAAATTAAAAACTAATTTCTTGTTTTAGTAATTATTTTTTTTTGTTGAAAAAAACCAAAATAAAATTAATAAATATTATTTTATATATTTAAATAAAAATACTAAAATTCACTAAAAAAAAACAAACAAACCTCCAGCCAAAGTGAATAACCCGATTGAAACCCGTGTGTTATAATAGCTGTCCTAAAGTTTGGATTGAATGAACTGTATTTCAATGTATAGGACGAAGCATTGTATGAATAGTTTCGTGGAATAGTCCGGTGTTCGGCTGTATATAAATGAAATTTCGGATCAATAGCCGACAGTGGCATCGGTACCAATGGTAGAGTACGGGCCGATTCATTAAAGTCGGACGCACGAAAACAGCCTAATTCGCCGTAACAGCTCTTATTTTTATCGTCCTGTAACCCTATATATTTATATATGTATGGTTGGGAGTGGGTGAGTAAGTGGGTGGGTGGGTGTGAAAAATAATTATCATTAAATTTATATATATATATATATACAGTATACAGTGTGTTCCACAAATCATCGATCCACACACCCCATTGTATACAAAATATATATAATTTATAAGTAAGTTATTGTGTCAATCATTGACTATCATATTTTTTTTATTATAATTTAGCTAATGATTTTTTGGAACATACTGTATATATATATATATATATACAGTTTGTTCCACAAATCATTATCCACACCCCATTGTATACAACAATACATAATTTATAATTTGTTTATAATTTATTGTGTCAATCATTGATAAAAGATTGACACAATAATTACACAAATTATAAATTATGTATAAGTTGTATACAATGGGGTGTGTGGATCAATGATTTGTGGAACACACTGTATATAAATTTATATAAATATATATATACAGCGAATTTTTTTTTTTAAAAATTAAAAAAATACTTTTAAATCTTGCCATAAGTTTTTCTGTTTTACTCATATTTTCTTCTAAATCAATGAACACCTTATTATTTTGCGACTCTTCTTTCTTTTTGTTAACAAGTTTTCCTAAAAATCCTAAAAATAAAATAAATTAAAAATAAATTAATTTTTTAAAATAATTTTAATTTTTATAATAATTATTAAAAAAAATTTGTTCTATTAAAAACAACAACAATGACAATAATAGTATAACTATAAATAAATTATATATTAATTAAACTATATTTTTAATTTTTGTAAACTATTTTTTTATAATTAATAATAATAAAAATTTTAATTAAATTTTTTTGGCTGTCAGTTTGTCAAATGTAAATAATATGAAAATCTTAATTTAAATAATTTTTAAGATAAAATATTTATAAAAAAAAATTGTATTTAAATACAATAATTAAAAATTAATATAAATAAATTGATTATAAATATAATTATTTTATTTATATTAATTTTAATATGTTAAATTAAATTATATTATTTTAATATATAAATATTATAATTTATATTAAGCTAAGTTTAAAAAATAATATGACTAATAATTAATTTAATTAATATAATAATAATATACTATTATTACTACTATTACTACTACTAATAATAATAATAATAAAAACAATTATTAAATAATAATAATTAAAATATTAATAAAAAATAATACCCTTTAGTCCAGCCGTTGGTTTAGTTTGCGATTCTTCAGTTCCAACTTCTTCTTCATTATCTTCGACGTCATCGTCTGATCGCAAAACCCTATCTTTTTCATCGTTTTTGTTATGTATTTCAGTTAACTGTTTCTTATTTAAGACTTTAAATGGCGGCGGTTTGCCAATCAATAGTCGTTTTTTTAAAGTCTCTGTTAATCGTAATAATAATAATTGTTTTAATTAGTTATTTTTAAATTGTGGACATTTTTTTAAATAAAAAAATTAAAAAAAACTAATAATTATTATTATTTTTATACAGTGTCTTAAATATCGACGCCCGGCGATGCTATTAATTTCAATTATCTGGTGTCAAAAAATACGTTTGATTTTTTTTTAAAAATAAAATTGACCAAGGTAGTGGCAAAATGTTGCGCAAGATAAACTTCAAACTAAATATATGATTGTAATTGGTGATTTTTTATAATTTTTTTAAACAGTCAACTGTATATTAAATTATATAGGGCCAATCATATAATTAATTTTTTTATAATTTATAAAAAAAATCACCAATTACAATCTTTATATTTATTTGTGTGTAAATTATCTTGGTCACTTTTATTGTTGATAATTAATTGATAGATAATTGAAATTAATTAGCATTGCCTCCGGTGCCGCTGTTTAAGACACTCTCCTCTCTCTCTCTCTCTTATTTTTATTTATTTTTTTAAATATAAAAAAAAATTAATTAAAATATAAAAAAAATTAATTAAAATATTTCACTACTTGTTGTTGTTGTTGGAGTTAAGGCTGATTTCAGATGAACGTCATCGACATCTGTGTCCGTATTGTCGTTGTTGTCGTTATTATTAACATTTTTTTTAGTATTTAACGAAAAAGGTTTCCAACCGATACAGTACTGGAAATAAACTTTTTAACACAAAAAAAATAATTATTAATTATTATTAAATATTTTTTTAGAAAATAAAATGTTTTGTTTAGTTTTTGTGTGTGACACACAATCATTTAATAATAATAATATAAAACTAAATTTAAAAACTAAAAATTTAAATTTAACTTACTCAGCAAAATAATGGTTACTATAATTATTAATTTCATAGTGGAACTTATGTTTATAATGTAAATTAAGTATGTTTTTTTTAATTAATTAATAAATAAATAATTAATTAATTTTAATTAATTAATTAATTTTTTTTTGAAGTAAAAAGAAAAGTTTAATTGAAAAAAATAATTTTTATAAAAAATTAATTATATTTTATTAGTAGTATTTTATTAATTAATTATATACCTGTATTTGTTAATATACATTGAGAGCTATATTTACTATAAATTAAATTACATTTTTTAAAAAAAAATTATACATAACTTATTAAACTAAAATTATATTAAACTATAATGTTTGTATTAATAAATAAAACTGATTTTTTTTGTATATTAAATTAAATTCAATAGTAGTAATGATTAACAATTAAAATTTATGAATTATATATATTATTAATTTGAATATATATTTTTATAATATATATTTTATAAAATAGTAATAGTAATAATTTAGTTTGAAATATATAATAATAATTATAATAATAATTTATTACTAAAATAAATTTTAATATATTTTTTTCAACACCAAATAAAAACTGTATTTTTTAATCTAAAACAATAAATCATTATTTATTTACTATTTTCATAATATAATTATTTAGATACAATTATTTTGATAGTAATCTAATATTTTTGGTTATATTTCTGTAATAGTAATTATTATTTATTAATATTATTATTTTTATTAATATTATTATTTTTATTAATAAAAATGTTTTATAAGATAAAGTACTATCTATAGTTTAATATATATTTAATATATAATTAACTATTTTATAATTAACTAATTAACAAATTTTTTTAATTTACTATTTATTTATTTTTTTGTTTGGTGTCATAAGTCATATGCACTAATCGGTGGCGGGTTTTCATCGACCCTTCCCTCACTGTATACACTATTGGGTCAATACATTGACATTAATAATACATTGGGTTCACTGTTTACGTTTAGGCAGCGGTTTAATGGTTACAACAAACACACATTGATTATCGGCAACTATATCGACATTATACCGATTTTACTAATCTATAACAATATTTTAATGACAACTTTAGTTGTCATACTATACCTATTGATAATAACATCAAATAATTTTATTAAACCATTAGACAACAATAATGTTTGTCCAAATGATAATAATCACATTAATGAGATTTAATAATTAATTTAAACTATAAAAAAAGTATTTAAAACTATTTATTATTTTTATTTTTTATTTTATAATTTACACCATTTTATAAATATGTTATATATGTTATATAAATTTATGTTATTTAAATTATATACACAAAAAAATATTTATATGTTTAATATTTGAATATTATTATGATATTTAATTATATAATTATTATATTAATTAATAATAATATATTATAACATATTTATTTACAAATATTTTGGATAAACTATTAAACACTTTTCATTTATAAAAAAAAATAAATAAATAATTATTTACAATAAGGTTTCAATTTATTTATTTTTTAGTATTAGTTATTAACTATTATTAATTAATCATAATTTAGACAAATTAAATAAATCTAATTTAAAATTAACGTAAATACATTTATTTTATATATTTACTACTAATATAATATAGTATTTATACAGTTTATTATTTTAATGATATAATTTTACTTTTATATATTTTAATTAATTTTTGATTAAATTAAACTAAATATTTATTTTTTAAAATAATTAACTGTACATTTTTAATAGATATAAAATAACTCATATTTATTATTTATTCAAAATAAAAATATTAGTCTAATTAGTTTTTAATTTTTAAACATTAAACATTAAATATTTATTATTTTTAAAATATTTTTGACAACAATAATTGTTTTTATACTATCTATTTATATTAATAATTAAATTAAAATATAATTATTAAACCATTAAAGCAATAATCCAATGTTCATTTTAATAATAATTAAATTTAAATTGATATTATATTTTGTAAATTAAACAAAATCTATTTATTATTATTATTATTATTATTATTATTAAAAATATCTCATAAAATATGTTTAAATAATTTTTATTTATTAAATTGTATCTTTTGTTAAATAAATTTTATTTTAAAATTTCTAACATTTAATTATCTAAAAAAACTGTATTTATAACTAATTTGTTCAATTACAACATCAATATATTTAAAATAATAAATTATATTAGTTTAAAACTTTAGTCTTAATTTTTATAGATTACTATAAAATTATTTTATAATAATGTAATTAAGAAAAATTAAATTTATGTATTTATTTTTAATAATCTTTTTGAAATTATAACATAATATGCAATTATTTAATAAATAATAAGTATTTTAATTTTGACAAAATTAATAATTGTTTTATTTATCATATTTATCATATTTAATTATTGTGTATTTTTTATAAAAAAATAATTATTATTTTAATTAAGTATTTTTATATTATAATTCTAAGCAAATTTATTTTAGTTTAATTTTATCTAAAAAAATAATTAAATTATTTTAATTGTAAATAATCGGTTACAGAAATATCTAATTTTTTTTAAATTATTAAAATTATTAATTTTTTAATTACTAATTTAGTTATACTAGTTTAACAGTAGAAAACATTAGTTAGATAACAATTTATTATTATTATAACTTATAAAACTGTAACAAAATTAGTCAGATATTTTATATAAAATTATACTAATCTTAAAAATTTAATTTTAGGTCAACATTTAATATGGATTTTAATTTTTAATTAAAAAAATTTTTTAATATATATTCATAAAAATAATTAAAAATATATATAATTTATCATTTGATAAACAAATAAAATAACAAAACAATATATATATATATATTATTTTAACATATTGTTATATTTAAAAAATTAAATCAATATTTAAAAACAAACAAAAAATGTCATCAATTTCTAAATTATTATTTATAACTAAAATATTATAATTAATTAATATTGTTGTTTACTATGCTATTATTTTGCAAAAAAATGATAACAACTAGAAATTATTTACTACTTTAATTAGTAGACTATAAATTATAATTACAACAATTTTATTTGTATAATATTTATAAAAATTATTTACTAAAATACTTGTATTAATTAAATTATAAAATCTTTATATAAAAAAACTAACTTAAATATTTGTTTATTAATTAGCTATGATATTAAATTATAATTATAGTCTAGTCTAGTAATTTCTATAACTATTATAAAAGTTGTTTTAATTATATACATAAATAATATTTTGAATTTAACCTCCGATAATATAATTTTACTTATAAATAGCATTTAAAATAATGTTTTTAACTATTTGTAACATAATTTTTATAATACATTATAATAAAAATATTTTGTTTTTGTTTTACGAGATAATCTATTTTAAAATTTAAATAATTATAATAATAAATTAGTTATTAATTATGTTATTTTGTTTTCCAGTTTGATATAAATATTTACTGATTATATTATATTAAATTCATAATAATAATAATAATTATTATTATTATTAATTTGTTATAATCTATATATGTAATACAGTACATATATTTGTATATATATATTTAAATAACATTATAATTATATACAAAATTAATCACTAACTCGTTTGTTAACCACAATTAACACAAAATCCTAAAAAAAATAAATTAATAAAACTTTAATTAACGTATGATTTATTATATTAAATAAATGAAATCAATTTTAAAACAAATTTCATCAATCAATAAATAATTGTCAAATCAAACAATAAAAAAAGTAATTATTAGTTTAATAAATATTTTAGAAAATAAATTAAATTAAATTATTTATTTATGATATCAGTGGTGACATTATTCATACTTTATGGTGTAATTTATTATTAAAATATTATTTAGTTATCATATTAGTCATATAATTTGTTTTAATTATTAAAAAGCATGTTTTTTTAATAATTAATATTTGATTTTTACTATCAATAATAATAAAAATAATATTAAAAAAACTGTAATTTTTTAAGTAAATATATTTTATTTATTTATTATTGTAAAAAATTTATCTATTTAGCGTCGGTTAAGCTCCGTTTGGTATTTATTTTTATTAATTTTAAACTAAAATAATTATTATTACATTAATATTTTTTAAAAATTATTTATTTAATAAATTAAAAAAACAAAGCAAACACATTGTTTACTATAAAATCAAATTTTTTTTTAAACAGTTAAATAATTACTATTAAAAATTTAATTTATAAATTAAAATTTATTATTTATTAGTTGATATTATTATGATAATACAGTTTGTTAAATAATTTTTATTTCAAATTTTTATATATAATAATAATTTTAAATAATTAATTACTTTTTTTTAGATTAGTGAATATATAAACAATTTTTCTAATTATATATTTTTGCAAATAAATACAATTTATTTTTATTATATTTACAATTAGTTTACACTTATATTATATATAAAATATTTTTTGTTATTATTGTATTTGTTATTTTTTAAAAAATATACAATAATAGCTTAATAATATATTGTAATAAATTTAATTCATAAAATAGTATTTAAAACTCATTAATAACTACTAACATTTATTTGTATTATACTATTTTTAAAACAATTTTTTTAAATAATATTTTTTTTTATAAAACTGTAATTATAATTATTTTAAATATAAAAATTTTGAATTATATTTTAAAATATCTAATTTTAGCCTGAGTAATAAATAAATAGGATAATTTTCTATTAATTTACTATTGTTACAATTATTTTACAACAATTTATATAAAAATAATAATAATAATTGTTTAGTAATAATTTTTTTTGATACTTAATTAAAGTATATAAAAAATTATAAATGTTTTTATAATGAAATTTTATTAGTTTATGATAAAAAATATAACAAATTATAAAACAATTATTAAAACTAACTTAGTCAATTTAATTTTTTATTAAAATAAATTTTAAATACACTGATAATTTTAAAATTATTGCAAAAAAGTATTACTAAATAAAATTAAAAGCTTGTTTTT